TGTATATGGTATGAGGTAAGGGCCCCAATTCATTTTTTTCCTGTGGAAATCCAGTTGTCCCGCCACTATTTGTTGAAAAGACTATTTTCCCTCATAAAATTGTCTTGGAACTCTTGTCAGAAACGAATTTCTATTAATTGTCTAGGTTTATTTCTGACTCGCAATTCTATTCCATTCATCCAGATGTCTGTCATTATGCCATTACCACACTGTTTTGAATATTGTAGCCGTGTATAATACTGTTTTGAAATTTTTAACTGTGAGTCTGCCAACTTGGTTCTTCTTCAAGATTTTTTGACCATCCTGAGTCTCTTGCATTTTCTTATGAATTTTAGGATCAGCTTGTCAATTTCTGCAAACATGATCTCTGGATACTTTTTAAGATTTTTTTTTGTCATTGGTTTTGAGTAATTTGATCATAGTCTTTGGTGCAATTGTCTTTATTTATGTTCCTTGTGCAGTTAATTGAGCTTCTTGGAATTTTGGGTTAATAGTTTTCATTAAGTTTGAAATTTGGGGGAGGCATTATTTCTTCAAATATTTTTTCTTTCCCCCTTCATTTGGGAACCTAAGTTACAAATAATCGAGCCACTTGAAGTTGTACTATAGCTTACTAATAATCCTTTTCCATTTTTATTAATAAAATTCTTCTTTCTCTATGCATTTCATTTTTCATAGTTTCTATTGCTATGCTTTTATGTTCACTGTTCTTTTGTAGTATCTAATCTGCTATCAATCCCATCCATTGTATTGTTTATCTCTAGAAGTTCTACTTGAGTCTTTTTTATATGTTCTATATCTCATCTTAACTTTTCGAACACATGGAATACAGTTCTAATACCTGTGCTCATGTCCTTATCTCCCAGTTCTAACATCTGTGTCAAATCTGACTTGGTTTTGACAATTGATTATTCTACACATCATAGGTTGTGTGTTTCCTGCCTCCTTGCGTGTCGGACAGTCTTGGCTGAATGCCTGACAGTGTGAATTTAACCCTGTTGGGAGCTGGATATTTTGTGTTTCTGCAGGTCTTCTTGAGCAACACAGTGTGTTACTTGGAAGCAGCTCGATCCTTTTGGGTCTGGCTTGTGTGATTTGTTATGTGGGGCCGAGGCAGTGCTCAGTCCAAAGCTGATCATCTTCGTCTGCTGAAGTGAGAGTGTTCCTGAGTACTCAACCTGATGCCCTGTGAATTCAGAAAGTTTCTAATCTGACTGCAAACAGACATTATTCCAGCCCTTGTGCTCCTCTGGTGCTACTTCCTCTAGTCCTTTCAGATGGCTCTTTCCTGTGTGCATGTGCCAGTCAGTGCTCTGTGGCATCCTCGAGGGAGGGGGCCCTCTCTCTGTGCAGCTTTCTCTTCTCTGGTTTTCTGTTCCATGGGCACAGGCTGCCTTTGTCTCTCAGGACATCAGCTCTGTCTCCTCAACTCAGGGTCTGCCTGGCTCTGCCTCAGTTTCCTTTTCCCGTAAACTTAAGTCAGGAAGCTGGGGCAATTATAGGGCTCACCATTGTTTCCTATCTCTAATACATCACTGTCCTTCATTCACCTTAACCATTCTGATGATTCTGTACCCAATTCCAATGTGTGGGTTTTTTTCTTTCCCACAAAAAGAAATTCTCTGAGACACCAGCCAAGTGTCCTACAGTTCAACTCAATTCTGACACCATCCACCTGGAAATAGCATCAGATCCCATAGGTTAAGGGCTCAGTCCCACAAGGCTGCCTCCCCCACCACTTCAGATATCAACTGCAAGTCCAGGTTGTCACCTGTGCTTCTGGCCTACATGCTATAAATTAGAGGTTCCAATGACCCCCTTCCTTGGGTTTTAATAATTTGCTAAAGTGGATCACAGAACTCAGAGAAACATTTCACTTACTAGATCAGTGCTTTATTATAAAAGGGTAAAACTCAGGAGCAGCCAGGTGGAAGAGACGTATAGGCAAGGCTCGTGGGAAGGGGCAGGGCCAAGCATGCCACTTTCCCCCAGTGTCCATGTGTTTACCAGCCGGGAAGCTCTCTGAACCCTATCCTTTTGGGTTTTTATGGAGACGTCATTACACAGGCACAACTGATTAAATCATTGACCACTGGTGATTAGAAAAAAATATTTTATTGGAGTATAGTTGCTTTACAGTGTTGTGTTAGTTTCTGCTGTACAGCAAAGTGAATCAGCTATACATATACACATATCCCCTCTTTTTTGGGTTTCCTTCCCATTTAGGTCACCGCAGAGCATTGAGTAGAGTTCCCTGTGCTGTGCAGTAGGTTCTCCTTAGTTATCTATTTTACATATAGTATCAGTAGTGTGTATACGTCAATCCCAATCTCCCAATTCATCCCACCCTCCCTTTCCCCCTTGGTATCCATAGGTTTGCTCTCTACGTCTGTGTCTCTATTTTGGCTTTGTAAATAAGATCATCTATACAGTTTTTTCAGATTCCACATATATGCGTTATATACGATATTTGTTTTTCTCTTTCTGGCTTACTTCACTCTGTATGACAGTCTCTAGGTCCATCCACGTCTCTACAAATGACTCAATTTCGTTCCTGTTTATGGCCGAGTAATATTCCATTGTATATATGTACCACATCTTCTTTATCCACTCCTCTGTTCATGGACATTTAGGTTGTCTCCATGTCCTGGCTATTGTAAATAGTGCTGCAATGAACATTGGGGTGCATGTGTCTTTTTGAATTATGGTTTTCTCAGGGTATATGCCCAGTAGTGGGATTGCTGGGTCACATGATAGTTCTATTTTTAGTTTTTTAAGGAACCTCCATACTGTTCTCCATAGTGGCTGTATCAATTTACATTCCCACCAAAAGTGTAGGAGGGTTCCCTTTTCTCCACACCCTCTCCAGCATTTATTGTTTGTGGATTTTGTGATGCAGGCCATTCTGACAGGTATGAGGTGAAAACTACCTCATTGTAGTTTTGATTTGCATTTCTCAATGATTAGTGATGTTGAGCATCTATTCATGTGCCTCTTGGCCATCTGTATGTCTTCTTTGGTGAAATGTCTATTTAGGTCTTCTGCCCATTTTTTGATTGGGTTGTTTGTTTTTTTGATATTGAGCTGCATGAGCTGTTTGTATATTTGGGGGATTAATCCTTTGTCAGTTGCTTCGTTTGCAAATATTTTCTCCCTTTCTGAGTGTTGTCTTTTCGTCTTGTTTATGGTTTCCTTTGCTGTGCAAAAGCTTTTAAGTTTCATTAGGTCCCATTTGTTTATTTTTGTTTTTATTTTCATTACTCTAGGAGGTGGGTCAAAAAAGATCTTGCTGTGATTTATGTCAAAGAGTGTTCTGCCTATGTTTTCCTCTAAGAGTCTTATAGTGTCTGGCCTTACATTTAGATCTTTAATTCATTTTTAATTTATTTTTGTGTATGGTGTTAGGGAGTGTTCTAATTTCACTCTTTTACGTGTAGCTGCCCAGTTTTCCCAGCACCATTTATTGAAGAGGCTGTCTTTGCTCCATTGTATATTCTGGCCTCCTTTGTCATAGATTAGTTGACCATAGGTGCATGAGTTTATCTCTGGGCTTTCTCTCCTGTACCATTGATCTATATTTCTGTGTTTGCACTAGTACCATACTGTCTTGACTACCGTAGCCCTGTAGTATAGTCTGAAGTCAGGGAGCCCGATTCCTCCAGCTCCGTTTTTTTTCTTTTCTCAAGATTGCTTTTGCTCTTCTAGGTCTTTTGTGTTTCCATACAAGTTGTAAAATTTTTTGTTCTACTGTGAAAAATGCCATTGATAATTTGATAAGGATTGCATTGAACCTGTAGATTGCTTTGTGTAGTATAGTTATTTTGACAATATTGATTCTTCCGGTCTGAGAACATGGTATATCTCTCCATCTGTTTGTGTCGTCTTTGATTTCTTTATCAACATCTTATAGTTTTTGGTGTACAGGTCTTTTGCCTCCTTAGGTAGGTTTATTCCTAGGATTGAACTCAATCTCCAGCCCCTCTCCCCTCCCTGGATGTCAGGGGGTCTCAACCTTCTAGTCACATGGTTGGTTACCCCAGCAATCAGCCCCCATCCTTAGGGGCTTTTGGAAAATCACTTCATTAACATAAAAAACCCCACCTCTGTGCCTCTCCTCACTTAGGAAATTCCAAGGGTTTAGGAGCTCTGAGTCAGGAACAGGAGGAAGACCAAACACATATTTCTTATTATAAATCACAACATCACAACCATTGTTTTGTGTATTGTGTTTGTTTTCCTTTGGTTGTTTCAGGGGGCCAGTGTCTTAGTTCAGGCTGTTATAACAAAGTACCATAGACTGTGCAGCTTAAATAACAGAAATTTATTGCTTAAAGTTGTGGAGACTGGAAGTCTGAAATCAGGGTGCTAGCATGATTGGGTGCTGGTGAGAGCCCTCTTCCGAATTGCAGATGGCCATCCTCTCACTGTGTTCTCACACGGGGGAAGGGGGAAGGGGTCTCTTCTTATAAGGGCACTAATCCCATTCATTAGGCTCCACCCTCATGACCTCATCTAAGCCTGATCACCTCAAAAAGATCCCATCTTCAAACACTGTCATGTTGAGGGTTAGGACTTCAGCATATGAATTTTGGGGGGACACAACATTCAGACCTTAGCAGAGTGTAAATCCAGCCCCTCTTCTCCATTGTGGCTAGAAGTTGAAGTCCCAGCTGTTGGTTTTGAGGCCTGTGTTATCCTTGTTCCTTAGTTGGCTGGAACTGGAAGATGCTGTTGTTGCCACTGTCTGCTATTTATGAAGCCCAGTATTTATAATTTGTTGGGTCTTATAGTTAGTTATAGGCCTGGAAACATGGGCTGGTAACAGCCTGGGGACAAGGAGGGGCCATAGGGTAGCTGTGTCCCCCATGCCTTCTGACTCAGAAGTGTGAGTGGCTCCCAGGAATGGCTGCGCAGTGAGAATCAGGTAGCCTCTGGGGTGGGGCCCGTTCCCCAGGCAGATGGGGTGCAGGCCTCGCTTCAGCTCCACCCTTCATCCTCAGTGACCAGCACCGACTACGAAACTGCTGTGGATGCCACGGAAACCTCATCCTATTTCAGCGCCCAAGGCTACCTGTCCAGGTAGAGGGTCGTGCAGGGGTGGTCCTGGGCCCTTTGCGGGGGGTGGCAATGCTGGCTTGGACTGACAGAATCCAAATCCTGGAGCCTTCAACCAGGCCACGGCAGTCTCTGTCCAGGAAAGAGGAGACCTCAGAAGCCATCCATGCTTGACCCTGGTCCCCTCCTGTCCTGGACCCCTCACTGGTCCATCTCACATCTGCCCCTTCTTGGTTCTCCCTGCCAGCTGGGAGCAGGAGGGCACGGAGTCTACCCCAGAGGAGGGGCAGCTGCCGCAGGTCGTGGAGGACCTGAAAGACCTCCAGGTGGCCCCCGGCACGCGTCTGGCCAAGTTCCAGCTCAAGGTGAAAGGTAAGGGGGAGAGAGATGAAGGGAAAGGAGCTGCCTCCCACCAGAGGGAGGGTTAGGGTTAGGGTTAGATCACCCAGGGGTCTGTGAGGGCCTGTGGAGGGCATGGTGCCCACTGGGCTGTGGCCCTGTGCTAACCACTCCCCCTGCGGCCCCAGGCTACCCCACGCCTCGACTGTACTGGTTCAAAGATGGGCAGCCCCTGACTGCATCTGCACACATTTGCATGACGGACAGGAAGACACTGCACACCCTGGAGATTGTCTCTGTCACCAGCGAGGATGCTGGCCAGTACTCGGCCTACATCAGCAACACCGTGGGTGCTGCTTATTCGTCTGCTCGGCTGCTGGTCCGAGGTGGGTGCTCAGGGATGCAGCAGAGCTTGGTGTCCGCACCCAGGTTGATGTCCACCTATAAACCATGCTGTGGCAAGCCTGGGAGCTAGGGCCCAGTGGTCACTGCCCCTGTGTGCAAAAGTCACAGGTGGCCAGAAGCTGGCTCCCCGAGAACATGGGCCCTTAGAGGGCGTGGGGCCCATGAAAACTGACCAGCAAGCAGGGTAGCTAGCTGGTGGAGTAGGCCCAGGCAAGCATGGAGCCCTCCGTAGACTGTGGAGGAAGAGGCAGGTAGTAATTGGGGGAGTAGAGGTCTTAACTTCCTTATTTTCCAAAGTTCTGAGCACTGCAAGGTGATTCCAAGTCTTGCCCAAATCTGCCCTGGTCTAGGGACCCAACACTGCCCGTGGCATTGCTTCAGTTGTGGCGTTCTGAGCACAAGCATCCCCAAGTTAGTTTCAGAGCAACGCCCCAGACTCCTGGGCGGGCATGGGTAACAGTCCATCTGGCCCGTGGGGACCGAGTGAATTCCATGTCTGCACGGCCAGGTTTAGGAAAGGTGCTGTGTGTAGGAGTGGGCGGGGCCACCCTCCGGACTCACACCCTGCTAGGCAGGCCCACTCAGGGGAGGGGGCACCTTGGAGCTGTAGATCTGACTTCTGTGCTTTCTTCAGGCCCCAATGAACCAGAAGAGAAGCCAGCATTCGGTGAGCCGACTCCAGAGGGCAGAGGGAGGGAGGGTGGGGTGGACCCTGGGGACAGGTTCCGTGAGGGTGCGTGAGGGGGACGACCACGTGGAATTGGGGCTCTGCACTGTTTACCACTGACCGCCCCATGCCTCTCCAGATGTGCACCAACAGCTGGTGCCACCCCGATTCCTGGAGAAGTTCACCTCCAAGAAGGTGAAGAAGGGCTCCAGCATCACCTTCTCAGTGAAGGTTGAAGGTGAGATGTCCTGCCTCCCTGTCCCACTCAGGAGAGCCCCCAGGGAGGTCCCCTCCCTGCATCCACTCAGGACCCTCCTAGGGAGGCTCAGAGGTGACCCCTGCCTCCCAGAGCCACCCTCTTGGTGTGGGAGACTGTCCACCTTCTACTCCTGCCTGCAGGAGACCCGCTCCCAGCTGTGCATTGGCTGCGGGAGGAGGCTGAGCAGGGTGTCCTGTGGATCGGCTGCCACACGCCGGGCTACACGGTGGCCAGCTCTGCCCAGCAGCACAGCCTGGTCCTTCTGGATGTGGACCGACAGCACCAGGGCACCTACACCTGCATCGCCACAAACACTGCTGGCCAAGCCCTCTGTTCCGCAAGCTTGCACGTCTCTGGCTGTGAGTGGGCATGGGTGACCCAGCCAGGAGTGGGAGAGGGGCAGTGTGGGTAGTGTGCAGCCTCAGAGCTCATGGGCCATCTCCCACGCCCTACACTGTGGGCTCCATTCAACTAGCTGAGACCCTCCTAGAAGCCCCCTGCCGCCCTGAGTGGTTTCTTCCTGGGTCACTCTCAGCTCTTCCCAGGGCGGGTGAGTCAAGTGCAGACCCCATTCCCATCCCTACCAGTGGTGGGATGACTGTGGGCCAAGCTGGAACACTGGGCACAGTCTTCCTCGGGGCTCCAGATGACAGGGCCAAGGCCCCCTGGGGGGTGGTCCAGGCATCCCTGGCAGGGGTCCCGATCAGAATCAGAGCTCCGAGGGTATGAGGTGTCATCCTGGTCGCTCACCCTGTTCTCCTGACAGTACCTAAGGAGGCTGGGGCAGCAGAGGAGCAGGCCGGGGTGAAGGAGGCCCTCATCTCCACCTTCCTGCAGGGGTGAGTGAGGGGCTGCTCAAGAGGCAGAGGGGCCAGGAGTGAGGTCCCGGGAGTGTGGGTCCTGGGAGTGCAGGAGTACAGGTCCTGGGAGAGTGGGTCCTGGGAGTGCAGGTGCCGGGAGTGTGGGTCCTGGGAGCGCAGGTCCTGGGTGAGTGGGGTCCTGGTCCTGGTGGGGGGCAGTGCTGCTGCTGGGAGGGAGCCCCATCACAGATCCCAACCCAGCTCTGGCCCTCTTGGGCCATGTGGCTTGGGTCCCCATTGTAAAGAGAGGACTTCCCCAGGGCCCCGACTGTGGCATCAAGGCCCACTGCCCCCAGACCCTCTTTTCTGTCAGGCCCTTCAGGATACCTCCTCCCCCTTTAGGACCCAAGTCGTTTCTGAACAGATGTCGCAACCTTCAGGTTTCACTGACCTCGCTGGGCAGAGGAAAGGTACGGGCTGAGTGGGCACACATCCGTGCAGGGTGGGGGACAGGGGGTGTGGAGGAGGCTGCCCAGCTGGCAGGCCCCAGGACCGTGTGGCCCTAGGAACACCTGCTTGCCTGGCTCTGGGCTGGGCCTCCCTGCCCTCTTATGGGCCTAATTCTGAGCTTTGGTTGGTCTCCGGGCCATTTCTGACCCTCGAGGATGTGGAAGCTCGCGGGGGCCCCTGGGCTGGGCCAGCCCTTGGCCTAGAGCTCACGTCCAGGGGGCTGTATGGGTGCCTAGGAGCAGGCAGCTGCTGAGTCAGGGCTGGCATGGGGGCGGTTCGGGGAGGCGGGTGCTGGATATGCTGCCGACAGGGCCCCCACTTTGTCAGGGATTCTCCCCCTGTCCCCAAGCTGGGTCCCCCTATTCCCAGCCTCTAAGTGTGCCTGCCCCCTGACATGTCCAGCTGCTTCCTGGCCACCTGCACAGGGCCCCAGCACCTTGGCATATTTAAAAAATTGGTTTATGGAGAATACTGAGTCTGCACAGAAGTCGAGAGGAGGGAGCCGTGCACCCCATGTACCCACTGCCCACCTTTGGGATCACTTCTCCACTGACCTGCTTTGTTAATTTACCCAGCCCTCCCTTCCCTGTGCTGCCCCCATCCCAAGCCGCCCTCATTCCCCCGTAACCCCAGCAACTGCTCCCAGCCCCTTACACCTGCAAAGGATCCCACTTCCATCAAGGTCGACCTGAAGCCATCAAACCACAGCTGCCAGGGGTCTGGCCCCCCAGCCCTCGGGCCACAATTTGGGGTCCTGCCCCCTGCCTTCAGTGTCCAGGACCTGCCCTCATATTATACTGCCTGACTGAGGTCCTTGTGATCTCCGTCCCTTCTGAGCCCCTTCCCAGACCAGCGGCCAAGTGGCCAACAGGAGTGGAGGTTTGGCACAAACCCCACTGGGGACCCCACAGCTCCAAGCTCCAACCCCAGCCTGACCATTTACCCAGCTTTGCCCTCAGCTGCCCCTGCCCACCGCCTTGCAACCATGCTGGCTACCTGCTGTCCCCGACTGCCTGCTCTCCCCACAGCCACCTGCTGCCCCCACTGTCATGCCTGAGTTTGTGGTCCCCTAAGTCACACCTTGGCTCAGTTGCCCTTGAGCCAAAGAGACCCCTAGTTGTGGTCAGCCTTCCCTGCTTCTGGCAGCTCTGGCCCGAGTCTGTGCGTCCCTTGGCTACTCTGACCCCCAAGCCCAGGATGGGCCTGGAGGCGGTGTTCGGGCACATCTGTGGAGCACACGGCTGGCTGAGCTAGGGTCTGGCCCCCAGGAGAGCTTCCGTCATCAGAGGCCTGCGGCCACCTGTCCTTGGCTGAGGTGGGCACGGAGGAGTTCCTGAAGAAGCTCACGTCGCAGATCACAGAGATGGTGTCGGCCAAGATCACACAGGGTAAGGGTAGCTGGCGATGGAGTGAGGTCCAGGGGTGGCCGTGACTGAGCCCCCAGGACTGGGGCCCCTCCTCACCTGAACGCCCTGTAGACCCATGGGAAGGCGGCATGGGGGGCAGGCCCTTCGAAGGCATCATGTGCCCTGTGTCCCCCAGCCACGCTGCAGGTGCCTGGAGGTGACAGCGATGAGGAGTCCAAGACGCCGTCCGCATCCCCCCGGCATGGCCGGTCACGCCCCTCTTCCAGCGTCCAGGAGTCATCCTCAGAGTCCGAGGATGGAGACTACCGGGGAGAGGTGCATGGGCAGGCGAGGGGTGGGGCAGGGTGGGCAAGGGGGTATGAGAGTGTCAGGGACAGGGTGAAGGTGGAGTTGGTGTAGGGGGCCGGGGGAGCTGGGGCAGAGGAGGTGGGCACACACCTGAGTGGCCAATATCACCACTGCGACCCAGGACACCCCCAGCACCCCAGAGGTTCCTCCTTGTCCCTTTGGGGTGGGCCACCTGGCACCCCCGGTAGGATTTCCATCAGTAGAGATGGGTTGAGCCTGTTCTAGAACTTCATGGAATCTCAGGATGGCTGCTTCTTCTCCACTGAATTCCAGAGGCCTTGTAGCCTGGGGCCTTAGGAGGCCCACTGGCCCCTCTCCAGGTCTGACTCAGTGACTTCCCCCCCCAGATCTTTGACATTTATGTGGTCACGGCTGACTACCTGCCCCTGGGGGCTGAGCAGGACGCCATCTCGCTGCGGGAGGGCCAGTACGTGGAGGTACTGGACTCGGCGCACCCGCTGCGCTGGCTCGTGCGTACCAAACCCACCAAGTCCAGCCTCTCTCGGCAAGGCTGGGTGTCTCCTGCCTACCTGGACAAGCGGCTCAAGGTACCTGGATGGCTGGAAGGGTGGTCCTGGGGTTGTACCCCCGTTCCCCATGAAGGCGGGAGCCTCGCCCTGGAAGGACAGGCTAGTGCTCAAGCTGTCTGTGACCCTCTCCTGTCTCTCACCAGCTGTCACCTGAGTGGGGGCCAGCTGAGGCCCCTGAGTTCCCCGGGGAGGCTATGTCGGAGGATGAGTACAAGACGAGGCTGAGGTGAGGGGCCACCGGCAGGAACTGTAGGAAGTTGGGTTCCTGTGGGGGGCCTCCAGGATGCTAATTACACCCAAGTCCACTGGGGCTTGCCTCTAGCTGGCGGGACCTTGCCTGGAAACTCCGTGTGGTGGGGCTGCCTGGTGTGTGAGGGTGCCCTCCCTCCACCAGCTTGCCAGGCCCATTCTGAAAGTGGGCAGCAGGATGCATGTGACTTGGAAGTGCCCGGTTCAGCAGCTAAGCTCCTGGGTCTTCCCCTCATGGCTGTCTCCCCACCCAGCTCCATCATCCAGGAGCTGCTGAGCTCAGAGCAGGCCTTTGTGGGCAAGCTGCAGTTCCTGCAGAACCACCACATGCAGTACCTGGACCACTGCCCCCACGTGCCCACGGCCGTGGCCAGCCAGAAAGCAGTCATCTTTCGAAATGTGCAGGACATCAGTCACTTCCATAGCAGGTGGGCATGCAGCATGGGCCTCAAGGCTATTCCCCGGTCTGTGTGTACATGCATGTATACACACACATGCTTAGACACACACTTGGACACACTGTTCACATGTGTAGATACATGTGTGCACATACATGCACAAGACACATGCCTACACACACATGGACACACACCACACATGTGCATACACACGTGGATGCTCACACTCGTACATGTGTGTACCGACAGGGCTGTACCTCAGGAGAGTGGGCAGGAGTCGAGAAGAGACAGAACCTTTGATGACTCAATTCACCCACTGGTGCACGACACTCCTGTACACACATGTCCCCAGGAACACAGGCATATGCACCTGGCTTATCCCCGGAAGTGCCTGTGACACACCTACCCACTGCAACCCAAGTACACAGACATACCCCAGAAATGTGTGCACACATGTACATGGGCACACACAAGTACATGTGCATACCTGCACACTCACAGCCTTTCACATGTGTGCACACATGTACATGGCACACACACGAATACATGTACACCCACAGACACGTACTCCCTTACGTGCTTGCACACCTGCACATAAGTGCACGCCCTGAAATACCACATATGCATGGCCCTCACAGCCCAGAACACTCACTGTCATCCACAGGAACCCGGCCCTGGGAAGGAGCCTGTTTCTTCCCAAACCTGAGGGTTTGGGGCTGGATTGTGGGTCGTGGGTGAGGGTCCTGATGTCAGCCCTCACCTGACCACTGTTCCCCTCCATGGCAGCTTCTCACAGGAGCTGCATAGCTGTGACACGGATGACGACGTGGCCATGTGCTTCATCAAGAACCAGGCAGCCTTTGAGAAGTATCTGGAGTTCCTGGTGGGCCGAGTGCAGGCTGAGTCGGTGATGGTCAGCACGGCCGTGCAGGAGTTCTATAAGGTGCTCCTCTGCCCGTCAGCCCTGCCTCCACTGGCCAGGCTTGATGCTGGCTTCCAGATCTCAGATCATCTTCCCTGACCCTGCTCAGGCCCCACTTCAGCCTGCCCAGGCCCCCTGGCCCCTAGCTTAGAAAAGCGGGCAGGGTCACCCCCCCCAACCCCAAGCTCTGCTCACCTGTTAGACAGTGACACTGGCCATCACCTGGGGCAGCAGTGGGGCCCACCTGGGGAGGAGGGTCTGTGTGTGGGACCCTGATCCACCAGCTCTGGGGCTCTGGGGACATAAGCCATCTGGAGGCTGTGCCCACCACCCCCCCCCGCCCTGAACCCAGCCCTGCGATTTCCACAGAAATACACTGAGGAGGTGCTGTCAGCCGCAGATCCTTCGCAGCCACCCCCGCCGTCCCTGCAGCACTTCCTGGAGCAGCCGGTGGAACGAGTCCAGCAGTACCAGGCCCTCCTCAAAGTAGGCACGGCCGGCCAGGGGCTGCGGGGCCACCCCCATGCCCAGCCACCCCAGGTCTCGCCCTGACCCGCAGTCTCCCCCAGGAGCTGATCCGCAACAAGGCGCGGAATGGACAGAACTGTGCACTGCTGGAGCAGGCCTACGCAGTGGTGTCGGCCCTGCCGCAGCGTGCCGAGAACCAGCTGCACGTGTCGCTCATGGAGAACTACCCGGGCACCCTGGAGGCTCTAGGCGAGCCCATCCGCCAGGTCTGGGGCTAGGGGTGCAGTGGAGGGCCTGGGCAGGTGGCCAGGGCTTGTGGAGGGCTGGACTCCAGGCTGGGCATGGCTGACCACAGGCTCACCACTCTCCCAGGGCCACTTCATTGTGTGGGAGGGGACACCGGGTGCACGGATGCCGTGGAAGGGCCACCACCGGCATGTCTTCCTGTTCCGCCACCACCTGGTGGTCTGCAAGCCCAAGCGGGACTCGCGCACTGACACCTTCAGCTACGTCTTCCGGAACATGATGAAGGTTTGCAGGGTGCCAGCGGAGCCTGGGTGGGCAGAGGGAGGCCATGCAGGATGTGCGGGCAGGTGGAGGCTGCTGGCCGGTCCTGCAGCCCAGTCCTGGGTGACCATGGCTCAGCCTGCATCCGGGCAGTCAGCCTGCATCCTCCCCCCACAGCTGAGCAGCATCGACCTGAACGACAAGGTGGAGGGCGATGACCGTGCCTTCGAGGTTTGGCACGAGCGGGAGGACTCAGTACGCAAGTACCTGCTGCAGGCGCGGACAGTCATCACCAAGAACTCCTGGGTGAAGGAGATCTGTGGCATCCAGCAGCGCCTGGCCCTGCCCGTGTGGCGTGAGTGCCTGGGCTCATGAGGCGAGGCTGGATGGGAGGCTGAACCTTTCAGCCTGGCGGTCTGGCTTGCGGGCACCCAGGTTGGCAGGTCCTGAGCCCTGGCGCCCTGCCCCTACCTGGGCAGGCACAAGGGAAGGGGCTCGATTCTGGGGCAAGTGGCTCTCTCTACCCTTGGTTAGCCCAGCCTCTCGGGAGCCCTTAGTCAGAGTGTAGGGCTGGCCCTGACCAGAATTGAGGGGAGCCTCGAGGTTCACTCAGGGCTTTCCAGCACAAGGCAGGTGCCCAGACTGTGTTAGGAATGTGAAGGGCCCGGAAGTTCGTCGCTTAGAACAGGAGAGACGATCCCATTTCAACATGCCCTCTTTTTCCACAGTCCCTACCACTCCCCAGTATACAGCCAACCTGTGTCGCTCACCCTAATGCCCATCCAGGCCCTAGTGTGGTACTATGGATAAAGGCTCACAAGGGGTGGTATCTGTTGCAACCACATCCTTGGTCATGGGGCTGTGGCCCTGCCAGGTGTGCACCTGAGGGGACGGGTGAGTGCTCCAGGCCCTGTGTATGTATCCCCAGGCCCCCCGGAATTTGAAGAGGAGCTGGCCGACTGCACGGCTGAGCTGGGCGAGACAGTCAAACTAGCCTGCCGTGTGACGGGCACACCCAAGCCCATTGTGAGCTGGTACAAAGGTAGGCATTTGGGGGCCAGTGGATACTGATCTTGCAACAAGCAAGAGCTGCCCAGAGGGAATCAGGCTGGGCAGGGGACCAGGGATCCAGGGTGGGACCTCTGGTCTTGGTCCTTGCATGCCAGCAGGAAGGAAAAGCGGGTGGCTGCAATGCCCAGGCTGAGGGGCTGGACACAAGAGACAGGCCTCCTGTTCCAGTCTCCTGCTCCTGAATCAAAGACAGGCTGGCCAGAGTGCACGGGTGGATGAGGTGGGACAGAGGCGGAGGCTGCTTAGGTATGCATCGTGTTTCTGACGCAGTGACTCTGCCCACCACCGAATCTCACTCATTAGCTCTCTCATTTGCCATGTTTGTGCTGAGTGCCCAGGTACCATTCCAGGTGCAGGGAAGGTGCAGTGAACAGGCAGATCAACCTTGTCCAAGGAGGCTGACCTTCTAGGGGAGGAGACAGATGACAAGCACATAGACAAATGTGTAATATTTGTGACCAGCCAGAGAAATAAGGCAGAGTGAAGGGCAGAGAGTAGTCATCATGCAGACATGTTGGAGGAACTCCAAATAGGCAGTGAGGCTCCAGGAGGACAGGGGAGGGGGAGGCACTGAGGCAGGTGTAGTGGGGAATGAGGCTGGGGAATGCTGGGCCTTGAGGGCTGCCGTGTGGGTCTCAGATTTGACTCTGTGTGTGATGGGAGCTGCAAAGTTTGGGGGTCCCCAGGAACACCGAGGTCAGGAGCCCAAGACCATTCTCACTGGACACGAACTGCAAGGTTGGGGGTCCCATAACCGCCTTCAGGTTCAGTGATTCACTAGGACTCACAGAACTCAGCAGAGCCGTTCCACTCAGGGTTCTGGTTTACTGCAGTAAAAGGGAAGAGGCACGTGGGGTGGGGTCCAGTTGGGGAACCAGGTATGGTCCAGATGTCCCCCCCGTGGAGTTGTGTGGACATGCCTGTTTCTGTCAGTACAGATGCGTGCCATCACACGGAGTGTGGCCAACCAGGGACGCTCACTTGTTGAGCCTTGTTGTCCAGGGTTTCTGTTGGGGCATTCACGTAGGCTGACCACCTGCATGGCTGACCTCAATCTCTGGCCCCTCTGAGGTCAAGCTGATGCAGTATGGCCTAAAGCCCCCACCCTAAATCACAGTGTGGCATAGACCATCTGGCGTGGTCCAGGTTCCCAGGTAAACCAAGATACTCTTATTAGGCCTCACCTGGCTGGCAGGTAGGTCTCCTCCGGGCTGGCAGGTAAATCCTGAATCCTTAGTTCAGTCCCAGTAGCCAAGTCCAGTCCTGGTTTTGGAGGAGCTGTCCCAGGGAAGTCAGTCCTCCTGTCCTGCTTGTTCACAGCCAGCTGGGGCATTTGTTCACCCACGAATGGCTAAGAATGGGGCTGGAGAAGACATGCAGGGGCACTTTGCTGGGACATGAAAGAGGGGCCGTCCCAGTCCCACTGTCAGAGCTTCAGGCCAGAGTCAGTGGAGCAGCAGCTGGTCCCCCGCAGCAGCCTGGGGATCGTCCTTCTGAAGTCTGTGGGGTCCTGGCGTCTGTGGAGCTCCCTTCCCAGCTGCCTCACAGAACCCATATGTAGTGCAGCTCCATTTCCCTGCCATCCCTTCTCACACCCCAAACTTGCACCTGTGACGATGTGTCCAGAGAGACAAAACCGTCCCATAAAAGTTATTTAGAAGTAAGAATGAGCCCCTCAGCCGCCACCTTTCAGCTGGGCTGCCCGCCGGGCTGCATCGGAGGGGAATGAGGGATGCACCATGCCCAGGAACAGTCAGAGTGGGATCCCAGGTTCCCAGCTGTATCCAGACAATCCACTGACCATTACCCTGTGAGCAGCTTGCAGGCTTTGACCCCCTCTGAGGACAACTGTGTCCAGTGAGTAGAGGAGGCAAGGGACAGTCAGACGGTCAATTCATGCTGGGCAGCTTCTGTGAGAGACGACACAGGTTCTCAAACCGCAGGTGGTCCAGGCAGCGTACACAGCCATGTGGTGTGGCCAGAGCTGGCCATTCACCGACCTAAAGCAGCATCTCAGTTGGAAACACCACAGATGGCCCTGAGAGGCACCCATCTGCTAGATGGGGGGTCCACCCCAAGTGATGTGCACCCCCCTCATCTCAGAGCCTCTCTCGGCAGTCCCCTGTCTGGCATGCACTAGAACTCAGTGCCACGTGCAATGCAACGGCTCCACACAGGAACCCTGGTGGGAGCCCTATCAGTGGCCTCACTTTGCCTCCATGGTTCACGGACCCAAGGAAGTGTGTCTTCAACCCACCTGTCTATAGCCTGTTAAGTGTCAAACCACATAGCCAGGGCGTTCACAACATCTCAAGGTCAGTGAGCACATAACCTTTGCCAGGAAAAGTAGCATCTGGCAGGAGAAATCAGACTCACCAGCCAGCAAAATGTCATTCATTTGGCAGAAGCTTGAGTGTCGGGGGTGAGGGCCAAGTCCTGATCCACGCCCCCACCCCGGGGGGGCAGCGAGCAGGGAGCAGAGAGCACCAGAGATGTGTATTAGAGATCATGCCCATGCAAATGCAGGGACCTCTGGTCTTGGTCCTTGCATGCCAGCAGGAAGGAAAAGCAGGTGGCTGCAATGCCCAGGACTCCCACCAGGAGCTGTTAGCCTGCACAGCAGACCCTGTTACAGCCACCCTGTCCAAGCCAGCTGGAGCCACAGGACCAGTGACTGGATTGGGCTGGTGACGATCTCCTGCCAGCCACCACTCTCTCTGGCTGTTGATTTTGGACTCGGCCTCTCTCATTAGCTTGGCTCCTTTCACATCACCCAGGAGGCCTGGAACTTCCTTTCTCCTCCTGGGGTTCTGTTGGCAATCTTGGGAAGTGACGGGTTGCTGGGCTGGACCTGGTTACATGCTCTATAGCCACCTATCCAAGTGTAGGGTGTCCCCACCCTTGTGTGGAGCAGGGAATTCCAAACAGAGGTAGAAGCCACAGTCACAGCACCCTGACTTGACCCCAAGGTGACATTACTTTTCCTGCTCTCTGGGAACCTTGCTCACATCCCATCAGTGGAATCAGATGCCTGTGTCCAGCAGAGCCATCAAAATCTAAGTTCTCCCCCTGCCTCAGGTGCCTGGCATATCAGATGCGCATGTAGGGCCTCTGGTCCCTCTGGGCACAGGGAGACGAAGGCCCACTTCTGATTTTTTTTTTTTTTTTTTTTTTTTTTGCGGTACACGGGCCTCTCACTGTTGTGGCCTCTCCCGTTGCGGAGCACAGGCTCCGGATGCGCAGGCTCAGTAGCCATGGCTTACGGGCCCAGCCGCTCCGCGGCATGTGGGATCTTCCCAGACCGGGGCACGAACCCGTGTCCCCTGCATCGGCAGGCGGACTCTCAACCACTGCGCCACCAGGGAAGCCCCATCTTCTGATTATTTTTCTCTTAAACAGGGGTGAAGGTGGAGGACGAGGAAGGGGCCAGGGATGGAACAAGACACACTTCCATAGCTCAGTAATATCCAGTGTTTTGGGCTCATTCAAAGCCCTAAACGGGCAGCAAGGTTGTCACTACTGATCCCATCTGTTTTAGCTTCAGGGACCGCTTGACTTAGAACCACATCACATTGTTCTCAGGGGCTCTGTGCCCCTTGCCTGGCTGGGGTTTAACTTGCATGGTGGTGACCTTTTGGATGGTGTCCACTTAGCAGGGGTTTCCACTGGCCCAGAGCCATGGTAACACCTCCCATCCTCTTTCTGGGTCTTCCCATAAGGGCTGAGTGAGTTTTCCAAGGAGGCAGGGCCACCTGTCAGGAAGCACTTACATCTCTTTGGATCACCTTCTCCAGTGTGTCACCAGCATTCTAGACACCATCCAGGTGCCACGAGCCCATGTGCCAGCTATTGATGGTTCCCTGTAGAGGTTTGTCTATATCAGGGAGTTGTCCCGAGCCAGGGTTCACAGCAAACACTGAGGTCCTTTACTGTTAACTCTAAAAGAATGCTGCACGTGTTTGGTGCCCATGCCTCTCACCCCTGAGTTCTAGCCCTGCTCCTACCTGCATTCTGCCCATCAGGATTGGTGATGGCTCTCTCTTTGCACTCGGTGTAGGTGTGTGTTTCTGTGACTGGGGTAAGAAGGGAATGGAACCTTCCTGGGACTCAGCATGGGTTCTAATATTTGTTGGGAAGTGGGGCTGGCCTGAGGCTGAACCAGCAGTGTCCTCGCCGCAAGAAAAGAGTACATCCACCAAGGCACTATTCAAGTGTCTGTCTCTGAGCCCACTTAGTGCTCAGATTGCAGCCACCTGCTCAGTTTCTCTCCACTCACAGCAAATAGCTGTTTCCTGCCCAGCTGACCATGAAGTGTGGTCAGTATGTTCACCACTGATTCCTGTGGACCTCCCTCATGTTCTGTTAACTGGCCCACGGGCCACTTTCTTTCTCTTTTGGGATGCTGTGTCTCTGACAGGTATCCCTTCCTTGCTGCCAAAATTGCAGATCAGAAACTGTGAGATGTTTCTTGGCTTGCAAGCCAGCAAGCCAGCCTACCAGCCAGATACAAACAAAAGACACAAGACCCCAGGTCAGAGACAAAGGCTGTTTCTCACAGCAAAAGCAGCGTGGGCTGCCCATGCCTTGATCTGCACATCCAGGGACCAGATGTCAGCTTCATGCAGTGGGTTGTACCACAAGAGAGAACCCCCAAGTTTTAGGAAATGCTGAGCTTTTCTGGGGCTACTGGCACATCTTCCCATCCTTCCCTCCAGAGCAAGAAGTGATTTATGGCCCTGGAAGACAAGCAAATGTCTCATAGGGAAGGAAGGTGAGGGCTTGTTCCTGCTGCCCTGGATGGCTCCTGGGGTGTCAGTGCTGGCGGTAGGTGTCTTTGCCCAGAGGATCTGACTGTGCAGGAATGCCAGAAGTCCATGGAGAATTGTCTTCTGACAGCAAGATGAAGACTGAGATTTGACCACAGAATGACAGTGTCACCAGTAGCCTTGTCAAGGGCTGTTTTGTGTGCGAGGTGAAAGCCAAGAGGTGTGGGTTTGGGAAAGGATGGAAAGGGAAGCACCTGGAGACAGAGAGTGAGAACAACTCTTTCCTGGAATTATCATACAGGGGCACAGAGAAATGAGGTGGTAGCTGGAGGCTTTTGGGGGGATATATTTTTAAATTGTTTCTTAAGGTTCCCTGTGAATCAGAAGTCAAGGTGCTGCTTATGAACTGTTATAACTTAAACAACCTTGTTCAGAAAGTACAGAGTTATTGGAAAGTGTTCATCTATGAAATTTTACATATTTATGGAGGAAAGAATTCTTTGTAGTGAAAGATGCACATCTCACCATCCCTCTCCCAGATAAGAAACGTGTTACAGCTGGACATGTTAGATGGGCATTTGGATGAGGGTGATTAAAGAAATGGGTGGGGGCTTCCCTGGTGGCGCAGTGGTTGAGAGTCCGCCTGCCAATGCAGGGGACACGGGTTCGTGCCCTGGTCCGGGAAGGTCCCACATGCCGTGGAGCGGCTGGGCCCGTGAGCCATGGCCGCTGAGCCTGCACGTCCAGAGCCTGTGCTCCACAGCGGGAGAGGCCACAACAGTGAGAGGCCCGCGTACCACAAAAAAAAAAAAGAAAGAAAGAAATGGGTGGTGTCCGAGTATGTCTACTAGGTGGGGTCAGTACCTTGGAGGCCCCTGGATAGTTGCAGAATCATTGGTGAGGTGATTGAGGGTCTGGTTATCAGAAGGAGATGTCCTCTCCTTGGGTTTGGGTCCTCCAGCCCGGCCCCTGCCTCCAGCTAAGAGCCTGTCTTTAAGAGGCTACACTGTGCCCAATGAGGTCTGGGGAAGTAGATGGGGGGCGGTGCCCCACGTCTCCATCCAGGGCTCCAGGTCAGCTTGGCTGGCTAGACCCCGGCAGGGAACCCACACTGGCTCTTGTGTTGCAGGGACAGCCTCCTCCATCAAACCCTGCGACTGTGACCCCCAGGCAGGCCCAGTCTCTTGTCCCTGATGGGGTTCCCTCTGTGACTGCCCTCCTCTCCTTTCCAGATGGGAAGCCAGTGGACGTGGACCCTCATCACATCCTCATTGAAGACCCTGATGGCTCATGTGCCCTCATCCTGGACAACCTGACTGGTGTCGACTCTGGCCAGTACATGTGCTTTGCAGCCAGTGCTGCTGGCAATGCCAGCTCCCTGGGCAAGATCTTGGTGCAAGGTGAGCCCTGGGGGGAAGGCCAGAGTGTGAGTGCCCAGGCCCCACCCTCTGGGCATTGGAAGGGTATCAGCCCTCATGGGGGGGGCACGGGCCTGTGGATGGAGCTGGCAGGGGGTGGGTGTGAACATCTTACTGAGGTTGGGGGACTCGCTGGTGGGCGTGGGGTCCTGCTCCGTCATGGTGTCTCTCTCTGTCTCTGTCTCTCTCTGTATCTCTATGTCTCTATCTGTCCATCTCTCTGCCTCCATCTCTTTTTTGTTTCTCTGTATTTCTGTATCAATTTCTGTGTCTCTCTCCTTCTATCTGTCTCTGTCTCTCTCTGTCTTTTTGTCTCCCTGTATCTCTGTTCCTCTGTCTGCATCTCTCTGTTTCTGTGTCTCTCTCTATCTGTCTATCTCTTTCTCTCTGTGTCTCTGTCTCTTTCTCCATCTCTCAATCTCTGTCTCTCTCCCCTCTCCCCACATTCCCTGGACCCTGCAGTCCCGCCTCGGTTTGTGAACAAGGTCCGGGCAGTGCCCTTTGTGGAAGGAGAAGATGCCCAGATCACCTGCACCATCGAAGGTGTCCCACACCCTCAGATCAGGTGGGCCAGGCAGCTTGGGGCCAGGGTGGAGGTGGGCAGGTGGGCCTGCCCTGGGGCCATCCTGCCTGCCTGAAAAATGAGGGTGGGCAGCCCGTTCTCTGGGTTGGGGTAGGCTGGACACAGAACCTCAGCCTTTCCGATGAGAAGTGGGCGTGATGGGGCTGCAGCACGTTCTGAACACAGCTCTAGCTGCAGCGAGGAGGACAGAGGATGTTGGGTGGGTGGCATCCAAGAGGGGTGTAAGGGGTGTCCTCTGTAAGGACATCTGGATCTGCAGGGTGGGTGAGGGGAGGGTCCTGAGCATGGGGGACCTGGGGAGACCCCACCTGACCACCCCCGGGGTTGGCTTTAGGTGGTACAAGGATGGGGCCCTGCTGACCCCTGGGGGCAAATACCAGAGCCTGAGTGAGCCCCGCAGCGGCCTGCTGGTGTTGGAGATCCGGGCAGCTGGCAAGGAGGACCTGGGCCTCTATGAGTGTGAGGTGAGGAGGGTGGGCCCAGGGGGAGGGGGCTGAGGGGACCTGTCTTGGGGATCCTGCCTGGTTACCACCATTCCTGACCACAATGAGAGAGGGGACAGCAGACCACTGTCACCCACCATCCATGACGAGGGGACACCAGGCCACTGTCACCCACTGCCCATGATGAGGGAACAGCAGGCCACTGTCACCCATTGTCCATGATGAGGGGACAGCAGGCTACTGTCACCCACTGTCCATGTTGAGAAGACAGGGACTGAGGAAGTGGGCCCTGGGTGGAGCCCCCTCAGTCCTCGTGGCCCGGGGGGAACTGGCAATGGTCTGGGGAAGGTGTGTGCTGGCTGTGGTTCTTCCTGGCTGCTAGCTACTGCTGCTGCCGGCAGCCTTCATGGGGGAAGTGTGGGGCCTGCTCCGCATGGCAACTCTCAGGGAAAAAATGGACCCATGTCAGCTCTGGACCTGTGCTGTCCATTTCGGTCACTGTTGTCCACACACAGTGATTTAAATTTAAATCAGTTAAAGTTAACTCTAGGTGAAGATTCACTTCTATTTCAAGTACTCAGAGCCCACGTGGCCACTACACTGGACAGAGCAGATAGTGTCCCCACCATCACAGGAAGCTCCTGGTCAGTGCTGGGGACACAGTGGCTCGCCCGGTACCCTTTTCCCTGTGGTCAGGCTCTGCAGCTCTAGGAACAGCCGTGGTGGGCCCCCCATGCTACAGCTGGCCTGTACGGCCTCCAAGAGACTGCTCAGGCCCCCTGGGGAGCCACGGGTTCTAAGTGAGCCTCTGCTGTCTGTCCTGCAGTTGGTGAACCGGCTGGGCTCCAAACGGGGCGGCGCGGAGCTGTTCATGCAGAGCCCGGCGCTGCAGGCCCGAGAACAGCACCACGTGGAGCAGCTCGCTGCCGTGGAAGGTGAGTGCTTCCTCTGCCAGTCTCGGCCTGGGCTGGACCCGCCATATGCCTGGGCAGCGCCAGGTGGGGTGAAACCGTCAGCGCCTCTAATCAGAGCACACTTCCTGGATGAGGGGAAGCAAGCACGGAGGAGGGGATTCAGAGGTTGAGGGGCAAGCACTGGTTGCCAGTTCCTGACTGGAGCAGCATGTATGTGGGCCGGAGGAGGGTGGGCTGTGAACCCAGAGCCTGGGGAAGGCTGGAGGGGCAGTCCGAGGGGCTGGGGGGGGGGCCCTAAGCCCTGCTCACCATCCCTGGGGGAATAACAAGTGCATACAAAGCCCAGACCTGGGTCCTGAGCAGCCGGCCAGGCAGTGGTCGGAGGGGTATTATAGGATGGGTGGCAGGGATGGTAAGAGGGACGGCTCCACAGAAGCAGGCTGCTGGATCCCAACTTGGCTCCTGGGAGAGGGAACAGGTGTCAGGGGCCTGATCCTTCCACACCGGGTGGGGCTGGCTGAGGAAAAGAGAGAATGCCGTGGCTTGGCCTCCGTGGCCTGGCCTGGGCCAGGCTGCGAGGGGTCTGGGCTGCAGAATGGGCCTCATCAGGGAGCCGTGTGCTCCCGGGCAGGAGGTGAAGGGTGGCAAGATGCCTCACTCCTCCACTCACGCTTGGCTCCAGGGTCCCAGCTGGGCCCAGCCCGGGGATGGCCCAGGGCAGGTAGCAGCCCCAGGGAGAGTTTCTCCCAGTCTGAACCGCCTCACCCGGAAGGGGCTGCCAGGACAGATGTTGAGCCTCCCATCTTCGGGGGCATGCAAGCAGAAGCTGCACTAGAAAAGCTGGTGGAGCTGCAGCTCTCACAGTAGGATGGGCTGGGAGCTATGTGTCCTCCCAAGTCCTGAAAGTTGGCTTCTCTGACGCCTGGAGCCACCGGATCAATCCCTCCCAGGGCCCAACGTGCAGGGGCTGCTGTCTGTCTGGACCCTCACAGAGTCGGCCACCTGGCGCCAGGAGCTCAGCCTTGGGGCCTTTGACGCCCTCTAGGGACTCTTCCTTCCCTCGTGGGCAGGGATCCTGTTCCTCAAGCCCCAAAGGGCACTGGTCCAGCCGGTTCCCATCGGAGGGCCCCATGGCATCTGCCGGCACCTCTATCCTGCCCTGTGGCATCTTACGTCGGACAGAGCAGGGCTCAGCATGCACCTCAGCACACCCTCTCGACTGGTGACAAGCACGTCCTACAGAGCTATTTACTTCATTGTCATGATGGGTCTCTGTCAAGGTCCCGTGGACACAGGGTGTGGAGGACGGGCCGCCTACCTGTGCCGGAAATGGCCTTCGTGCCTCATGAGGAGAGGCCAGTCTTCACAGACCCTGGAATTGGAGCCCGCTGCCTCCTGCTTCCTAACCCTATCCTGCCGCTTCATCATTAACCCGGTGGTTCTGCAGCCAGAACGGGCCCTGGCTGGCCCTGTGGGGTGGGGCGCTGCCCTTTCGCTTGTGAAACTGCGCAGGGCCAGGAGCCGCACTTTGCACAGCTGCACCCCTTCCACAGCCAGTACTCACTGGAGCCCAGAGCCCACCTGGTGGCAGGTTAGGTCAGGAACAAAGGTGCCAGGAATGTAGCAGCCCACAGGTGCCCTAGCCACCCCCCCCCAAAAGCAACAGAATGAGGCCCCTGTCAGGGAGGGTGAGGCAAGGAGCCCCGGATCTCTCACTGCTTGGCCTACAGACCACAACAAGTTGGTGCTCTCTGGGCCCGACTAAGTCTAAACACACAGGATATTTTGGCTGGATCCCATTCTCTCTTCCAGTGGACTCGCCTCTCTCCAGGAGGCAGCTTGCACAAGCACATACGGGCACACACACGTGTGCATGCAGACACACACATTAGCATGGACACACACAAACACGCACAGTAAATGTGGCTCCCAAGTGCCATACAGACACAGCTGGTACATTTCCTTCACGTTCATCTAACTGGAGACGAGGTTAAGATACCCACAGTCAGCTAAGGGAAGTTCTTTTTCTACGTGGCACTGCAACAGAGCAGAAAATCCCATCGACCAGGGACTAGGAGGCTGTGCGCCCCAGGCCATGCCACTGGACTTTTTTGAGCGTCCCCCTCAATTTTCCCCACAGGATGGCGAGAGGGACTGTTGAGATGTATGGGTGCTGGTAGCTGGTGGGCTGCCTGCTATCCAGCGGGGCAAGGCTGGGAGAGGCATCTCTGTGCCAAGCCCCACCCTGTCCAAAAGCTACAGAGGAAGAGGCCTCGAGATGGTGGGGAGTAGTTGCTGCCAGGTCCCCAATGGGTCCCGCCCTGTCCCTGGGACGTGGGTCCCCTATCAGCAAAATGGGAACCACAGGCCGTATCCTGCTGGCTCCAGCGAGGAGGAAAGCTAGGAAAGTCAAGAGACAGTTGAATTTGTGGGGTGCTCCTATGGGAAGACCTAGGTTTCCCTGCTCACTCAGAGCTCAGGACCCTGCTCAGGCATCCTCAGGTCACTCCCAGAGGGACAGGACTCAGACGTGCTACCTCTAGGACTCCGGAGTCATTCTGCCCTGGAGAGACGCCCTTTGGTCTTTAGATTTTTTTGTGAAATAGGCACCAGCCACCCCGGTCCCAGTTTGGCTATCAGCCACAGGCCATTCCTTTTCCCTCTCTAGGCCTCGGTTTCTATGAAAAGTGGAACTTCAGGCCTGACAAGTTCACAGGGCTCCCTGGGCACATGGGCTGAAGGAAGAGCTTGGATTTCTGTGTGGGCAGCCTAGACAGAGCCCTTACTCTCCTTGAAGCTCCTGCAAGAACCCCTCAAGAGGGATTCTTCCCTCACGTGGGACACACTGTTATCACAACTCCTCATTCCCCAGCCACTCAAGGCAGGCATTATCACCTCCATTTCAAAGATGAGGGACCTGGGACTCTAAGCTGAGACATCGCTACCAGGGCCACACAGTCAGGCAGGGTTTGGATCCAGTTTCCTAAGCTGAGCAGGTTACTACACTGCCATGCCACTCAGATAGCTCAGCCCCCAAACACCGGCTGATCTGTAACCCTCGCTATTCCGACTGTTTTCTTTGTAGTCACTGAGCAGGAGACTAAAGTCCCCAAGAAAACCGTCATCATGTAAGTGCAGGCGTGTTCCTAACCTTCCTTCTGACTGCAGTGCTCCCTGCATGCCCACTAACCTCCCTGGACCGTGCCTGTGGAGCTTGGCCCCTTGCTTGTCTGACTGCTTTGCCCACATGGCCTTTGTGCACCACGCAGACTGCCAGCACCTCGCAGATACTCCCAGGGCATTCACCTCCCCCGGGCCCTTGGCTACCTTCACACTTCAAGGCTGTCTCTTCCAGGGTCTAAGTACCCTTTTCATGGCCCCGTTGCCTCAGCAGGGTAGACTTACTCTGTGTACGTCACAGTGGCTCACCCAGGGCTTGGACCCAGAATCATGCCAGTTAGCGGGGAGCAGGGACTGAAAGCTGCTTCCCTCAGTGTACTAGAGGCAGAATGGTACCCTAGGATACCCTAGGGCATTGTCCAATGGAAATTTTTGTGATGATGGAAATAACCTATATTTACACAGCCCACTACAGCAGCTACTAGCCGCATGTGGCGACTTGTCTAGTGTGACTGAAGAACTAGATTTTTAAATTTATTTGATTTTCAACACTTTGAAGTTAATTAAAATAGCATAACCATAGTGAACAGCACAGCTCTAGGGCCCTCAGAGGTCTCCAAACTCAGCCCTCACACTAGGAAGGGGGGGACACTGAGGTTCAGGGAAGAGAGGAGGCTTGCTGAGGGTGGCTCACAACTGGAAGCCAGCCGAGAACTCATTTCCTCAGTGCCACACCCACTGTCCCATCCTCCATCCTTCAGTGCCTTCAAGGCTGAGGAAGAGCCACGCACGTTGTTGATAATTAAATAATACAAGAGGTCCAGAGCTAGGTGAACCCACAGAAGGCAGGATTGGTCTTGACCTGGATAATCTGGAAGGACTTCCAGCAGATGTGTGACGCAGATGGGTGGAAGAGCTTGTAAAATCCGGGAGGAAGGAAGACTGTGATTTCCTAAAGCCAGGTGACGGGGAGGCTCCAGGATGGGGAACCTCTTAATTCCCCATAGGCATAAGACCTCCTATAGGTGCCTGCAGGTGGTGATATCGCTGGAGAATCCCGTCTTGATAAGCTCCTGGGTTAGCCCTTCCGTGACTTTCTCCCTTGTCCCCCAAAGCAGATTGCCACCTCACAATAGATGGGTCTGCCTGGGGCAGAAGTTAGTCCCATCCCTGGAGGTACGCAACCATGCCGGAGCTTTACACAGATCACCTCTACATTTCATCTATGAGGGGAGCAGTGTTATTTACATTTTACGGAAGACAAAATGAAGGAGCAGAGACGGGGCCGGGCAGCCCCGTTGAGGAGGCATTAGGGTGTCCTCGTGCTTATGGGAGGCTGGACTAGGTAACTCCCGAGGCATCCTGAAGTCCAGTCTATTCCAGGCTTAGGGAGGTAGCAACCCTCACCCTGCAAGGAAGCGTGCACCCCTTCATCTTGAGGGATGGAGAGAGGCAACTGCCTGGCGCAGCATCCCAGCAAGGGCACGCCACACACTGCGCCTGCGGCACGATGAGGGGCTCTAGGGAGCCAAGGGGTACCAGAAGGAAACGGGAGAGAGACCCCTGCCACCTGGCAGCCTCAAGTGCTGTGCCGGTGGCCTCAGAGCAGGGTGCCTACCTGCCCTGAGGTGGGGGCAGCAGTAAGCGGAGCATGGGGTGCATTCAGGAGGAGTGACCCAGCTGTCCAGTTCCGCTGGACTCACTGTCTTGGCTCAGCAAATCAGGCAGTGTGAGGCCAGCAGATGGGGCCTTGCCCAGGTTTGGGCAGTCTCTGAGCCAGGGACAAGCCTAGTGCCACTGAGTCTTGCGTGAAGCAGGAAGGCAGGCCTGTGGCCCTGAGTAGGCCACGTCTCCGCGCCTCAGCCTCCCTGTGAGTGAAGGGGGCATGGCATTTCCCCTTTACCGGGTGAGGGCCGGAGGAGGCAGGATCCGTACTTGCTATGTACCCCAAGGTGTGGCCACACATCTCTGGGCCCATGCCTGGGAGTAACTGCTCCTGTATGGAGCTGGGAGTTAGACAAAAGCAAAGCTGAACAAGAGACAGACAAAGTCCTAGTCATTGCAGGCAGCTGGTGACAGCACTGAGTTGTCGCCATATGCATGCTGGGTCCCTCTGCCTGAGCCCGCGAGGACATGCAGGTCCTGGGGCCCAGGAGAGCTGTGTGTTACTAAATGTGTTCCTGCTCCCTGCCTATTACTCATTGCACCCTCAGCACCTGGCAAGGTCAGGCGTACTGGTTGGCATAGGAAGGCCTGGGCTGACTGGTGGGCTTCTGACTCTTGGCTCTGGGCAAGTTTCGAGCCCTTTTCAGCCTTGTCTGCACCTGTAAAAGGGGGTCAGACCCATCCACCAGAATTGCTGCAAGGTCCCTGGCCAGCGCCCCATGCACACTCACGTGCAAATGGACTTGAGTTCTATCTCCTCTTCCCCTTCCATCCCCCTCCTGTTTTGGGAAATGGAGCCCAAGAGGGAGGCGGACTTGTCTGAGGTCACACAGCCCATGACTGGCCAAGCCATGCCTAGAGCCAGGTGTCCTTGCCGGGCCTCACATCCCCAGACCTGGAGGCCATGAGCACAGGCCATGGGTCAAGACTCTGACATTCCTCCTGCGCCTGCGGCCTCAGCTGCCCAGCCTGTCCCTAACCGAGGATCACTGAGGCACCTGCCGTCTGAGAGCCCCTCTAACCCCCACCACCCTCCTGCCATGTTACAAAGCACAAAGCACTGATGGGCTCAACGAGGAGGGCTGTGTGGCTTGCACCCCTTCATTAGCGCTGTAAGGAGGGCTGGTGTCTCCAAAATGAGACAGCCGTAAACAAGCAGGGGAGATTGACACATGACGTTACAAACCAGTCTGGGGTTTGGAGGTACCTGCGTGATATAGCATGGGCCTCCCCTGATGCCTCAACCCTCATTTTGAGATCTGTACACTAGAGCCTGAGGTTGGCCAGATGAGACTCTGTGCTTTGTTTCTTTGGTTCTCTGGATGGGGATCTGGAGGTCAGGCTTAAGCCCACGTGTAGGAGTTAGTTTATGCAATTTCGCCACTCGCTTGCTTGTACATTAACCTGATCTCTCTCACTGGCCCCCGAATGTGCTGATGGCAAGGGCGCTGGGTGAGGCTGGGTCTCTGTGCCTATCTCCTCTCGGCCCTCTCCCCACAGAGAGGAGACGATTACCACTGTGGTGAAGAGCCCCCGTGGCCGACGCCAGTCCCCCAGCAAGTCTCCCTCCCACTCCTATCACCCTGCCAGCCTGCCCAAGCCAGGCCTGTTGGCCCCTGAGCTGCTGCCCTCGCCAGGAGCCAGCCAATCCTGCAGGCCCGAGGCAGAGCCAGGCTGGAGGCCCACTGTGCCCACTCTGTACGTGACGGAGCCCGAGGCCCACGTGTCAGCCCTGCCTGGGGACGCTGGGCCCCAGCCCAAATGGGTGGAGGTCGAGGAGACCATTGAAGTTCGGGTGAAGAAGACTGGCTCAACGGGCGCGTCTCTGGCCAGAGAGACGCCTGGCAGCTCGGAGGGGCTTCTCTCCACACTGCCTGGCAGGATGCCTGGAGGAGACCCCAATACAAACAACTCCAACAACAAGCTGTTGACCCAGGAGCCCCCAGCCATGGCCAGTGTTGGCGAGCCCCTAGCCTTCCATGTGGAAACGGGGCCAGAGACCCCTGAGCTTTCCCCTCCCTGGGCTGCTGAAGAGGAGGCACCCCTGGAGGAGACAGAGGAAAGAGGTACCTACCAGATAGAAGAGCCCCTGAGTGCCGACGGTCTTCAGGGCCGGGACCCCAAGATCCTCACACACAACGGCCGTGCACTCACACTGGCTGACCTGGAGGATTACGTGCCCCAGGAAGGGGAGACCTTTGGCTGCAGCGGCCCCATGCCCAGTGCTTCCGATGACCCGCCCTGCGAAATCTCAGTGCTTCAGAGAGAGATCAGCGAGCCCACCGTGGGGCAGCCCGTCCTGCTCAACGTGGGGCTCCCACCAGGTTCCCAAACCTCCCCTGGCTTCTTCACACGTACGCCCAGCTCCCGGGAGGCGTTTCCATCAGGGCCGCAGGACCTTGGCCCCAGGGGCATCTCCTTCTGCTTTCAGGAGGCCCGGGCTGGAGGTATCATGTCCCGGAAGCCGTCCTTCTGCACTCAGGTTCAGCGCTCTGTGGACAGTGGCCAGAGCAGCTTCAAAACGGAGGTTTCCACCCAGACGGTCAGCTTTGGGACAGTGGGGGAGACTGTCACCCTGCACATTTGCCCGGATGAGGACGTGGACCCTAGCCCCTCCCAGGGCTGAGGCCAGGACCATCAGGAGCTGGGTGGCTAGGATTGAGACGAGAAACTCTTGGGGCTGGGACATCCCTGACTAAGCTGCCGTGGTTGCATGGGGCAGCAGAAAGAGGCAAATGGCTTTGGGGCCGAGGACCCTGCCTGGCACCAGCATCAACTCACCTCACAGCTGCCCTGGGTTTTCAACTCAGGAGAGAGTCCCAGAGCTGGCACCCCTCGGACACGTGTGCTCTGACCCTGCCCTGGCTCTCCAACAACTCAGGACGCCTCCCTCCCCTTCCTCCCTGGGTGCTTCCTACCTCACAGGACTCGGTCTTCAGCTGAGGACATTGCACACATCTGTGATCTCAGAGTGTACCGAAGCTGCTCTGAGAGCACTGGCCGGAGTGACTCGCAGACTGCAGCTCTGGGTTCGGGGGCTCCAGACACAGGGAAGGCACTTGGGCATCTTTCCTGCTCCGTTCATGAGGCAGTGGCTGCCACATGGGCCCTGTCTGCCCAGTGGCCAGGCCTGGCACAGCCCTGCCTCTCACCCAGGCTGGGGGTTCCAGCCTCCCTCTCGATAGGGGGCTTCCCCCAAGCCACATCTCACCCGTGAACGTTTTTTCTTGGCCTCCAGGAGGCCTGTGTGGGGCCCAGCTCTACAGACCCTCCTAGGCCTTTTCTACAGGGTGGACCAGGGTCTCTGTGTGGGAGCAGCCCCCGTCAGTCGGCCCTGATGATGCTAATAAACTGGTTCCTTGCACTGTCTTTGCTCTGCTCTGTTTTGCTTCTCCACCTGGTGACTCCGATGACTCGGGAGGGAGGGGCCCTCCTGGCCTGGCCCTGGAGACCAACCAGTGGACAGCCCAGGCCCTTTCCGTTGACAGCCCTGGGTGGACCCTCAGCATCGACCTGTGGGTCCTGGCTAGTCCTGGGGATCCTGGGTGGAGACGTGATAGTTCGCCTGTCCGGCTTGCTCACATGTGGGCTAAGGGGCTGGTGACAGGTGCACACAGTGTGGCTGGGGCAGCGCAGAGTGGTTGCTCCTGCTGGGGGCCTCCTGTGCAGCTGGGTCCTTTGTCAGGACAGACATGGGGGTGTGATGTGTCAGGGGTCCTGATGACCTCCTTGGAGCGGGGAAGGACAGGATGGTTGCCCCAACGCCATAGAGGGCAAACGGATGGCAGCCTGCCCAGTTGCCTCTTCAGCCTGGTGGGCCCTAGGATACAGAAGATCAACAGGAGAGAGGCTCTGGGGCAGGGGAGAGCTCCATAAAGGGGGACCTTCTAGAAATGGAGTGGTGGGCATCTCTGAATGGCCACACGGGGATGGCAGCCAGGTGGAGGAGGGAGCTGCACTGAAGGCTGAGGGCAGGAAGCCGAGACACGGGAGGGTCTGAAGGTTCCCGGGGCTGGCACCAGGTGAGACTGTAATGGTCTGGGTCAGGCCAGGCTGCAGGTGGAAGGGAGAAAGCTGCTGGGTGGAGGACAGGGGCTGCCCTGGGAGGGCAGGATTGCAGCCTACCCTCTGAGGAGTTCATGGCTCCTAATCTGGCCTCTGGCTGTCCCTAGCTTCCCTAGACTGTGGGGCTGGGTCCACTTGAGCCTGGGTGACCCAGTACCCTAGGATCCAGAGTGGGCTACAGAGCAAGGCCAGCCCCAGGATGAAGGGATGAGACTAGCTGAGACTGAGGGGCCACCCAGAGTGATGGGTGGGAGTCCAGCCCAGCTGCCCCTATAGGAACTGACATTCTGTGAGGGCATGTGTGTAACACCCTGCAGGTGGACCAGCCCTGAGCTTGCTGCCTGGAGTGCCATCTCCCCTGGCACAGTCTCGGGATCCCTCCTTCTCTCAGGGGCCTCCGCCTTCAGCCCTTCCTGCACCCAATGTGTGGCTAGAGCAGGAAGGTGGGAAGGGTTGGCTGGGGTTGGCTCATCTGGGCAGTATCCCACTCCCCAGGCTCAGGCCAACCCTTACTCCTATGCATGGACCTGCCTCTCCTACAGATGCTGCCATCGCACCCCCAGGTGCTCTGGGGCAAGTGGACCAGGAGAGCACATCCATCCAGAGGACACTGATGTGCCCTGAGGCTCCGGGACCCACCACAGGGGAACATACCAGCCCCGGCCCCAGACCTGGGGGGCCACCTGAACTCCAGGAGGCCGGCCAGAATCCCCCAGGAGTGGAGGCTGGGGATGCATCCGGTGAGGCCTGGCAGCAGGCTGAAAGCAAAGTACCACCTGCTTCCAGGACCACCCCCCCACCCCTAACCTCCCCTCCGTTCTGACACCAACCTTGGTTAATTTGGGTGCCCATCCCATGGGGGTGAACTAGCAGAGCCTGGGGACCCCCGACATTCTGATGGTTCCACATGTTGGGGACCCTGGACAAGGCCCACCCCTCACTCAGCCTGTGAAACTAGAGGGGTGGATGGGTTCTGGGAGGTCCTTCCCACCCTGAGCATGTCTGTCCCAGGAGCCAAAGGCCTCCTGTGGTCAGCCCTCAGGGGACAGCTTGGGTACCCTGTGCTCCTGGGAAGGTGAGGAGGAAGAGGGAACAGAGAGTGAGAGGAGGAGGAGGGGAGAGACTAGGGAAAGAAGTAGAGAAGGGGAGGGGGGAGAGGAGAGGAGGGGGGAGAGGACGGGAGGGGGGAGAGGAGGGAAAGGGGGAGAGGAGGGAAAGGGGGAGAGAAGAGGAGGGGGGAGAGGAGAAGGAGGGAGACCAGGAGGACGAGGGGAATAGGAAGGAACAGTAAGTGAGCAGTGCCCCAGGCAGACCAGACCCCTGGAATGTGCTGTGGGGCCCCTCCCCCCAGCCCAGGGGGCTGAAGTGCACTTGCATGGCTGGAGCTCTAGGTTTGCGGTCACGGATCCTGTGCTCTTGGAGCCCCTACTCTGGCTGTCCTCCCCTCCTCTGGGCCCTGGAGGTCGATGCAGAGGCAAGTCATGAGGGATTGTCTCCAGCCCTATCCCAGGCTCCGTCTCACTGGGCCCCTTGCCTCCCACCAGGCGAGCCCCAGAAGGTGCCACAACGTCTCTCCCACGAGGGCCTGGAGCAGAACTCTCGGGCACACGCTGAGGTCCAGGAACGCGTGGTGCCCATCCGGTAACTTCCCCAGCTGGCTGGGGCATGAGGGGACATCCCGGGGGCAGGGTCGGGCACGGGGACAGGAGAGTAAGGGGTGGAATCCCAGCACCCCTGCACTCTCCATTCCAGCCCCACCCTAAGCCCAAGGGTAGGGCAGGGAGGAGAGGCCACCCCTGGAGCAAGGGAAGTTGGGGGAGCTCCCTTCTCACCCAGGGCTGGGGCCCCTTTCTGTACATCCCCTCCCAAAGAGTCTGCTGCAGCCCCCATCTTATCTTGAAGCTCTGCCTCCCATACCCCAAAAGTGGAAGGGTGGGGCAGACAGCTAACTCCACTCCATGGCCCCAGGATGGAGGGCGCTGCCTGCCCCAGGGCAGGTGCAACGGAGCTCTGGGACATCCACAGCCACGTGTTCACAGAGACCAAGCACAGGACGTATGTGTACCAGGCCAGCGACATGTATGCCACAAGTAGGTGGGGGCCCGCCACTTTACACGTGTGCCCACCATGCCCTGGGCAAGGGGGGACGTTTGCATGGAGGGGCCTGCAAAGCCACCTGGCATGTCCCAGCCTTACTGTGGCCAGGGCCCCTGCTCCCCCTCTCCCTGTGTCCCCTCAGAAGGCATCACTGGGAGGGGAGACGCAGGCAGCAGTGACCTTTTCCCCACTCAGAGTTAGCATATTCTGTGCAGCCTGCCCTCAGAGAGCCGAGGTTGAAGCAGGAGAGACGGGGGTTAGACTGAAGGAAGCACTTCCGGACCATCAGGGGCCTGGGGGGAGTCAGGATGGGGTCACCTTCACTTGGGAGGCAGGTGGGCTCTTTCACCCTGGGGTATATCTCGGGGCCTCTCTGCCCACCTAGGGTACCAGGACACACCTGGGGTTACTGCCAGCCCACCTGGGTCTCTGTGAAAGTAGGCCGGGGATCAAAGATTTCAACACAGGACAGGCTGTGGTGGGACAGAGCCAGGCTCCTTCCCAACGGCTCCCTCCCCTACCCCCAGGGCCCCCATCCATGCAGGTCACCATTGAGGATGTGCATGCCCAGAGGGGCAGCGTGGCGCAATTCCAGGCTGTCATTGAGGGCAACCCGCAGCCCATGGTGACCTGGTATAAGGTAGGGACAGGCCAGGGGTGGGGGCCTGCCGGCGGGAGGGGGAGTGTGTGAAACCCCACTGGACTGGACACAGCACTCACTGAAGGTCGTGCTGGGCCGTGGTGCTGGGGTCACCCATGGTGGGCTGATGGCCTCCCTGCCCTCCTGTGTCTCCAGGACGGTGCCCAGCTGGTGGATGGCCCCCGGCTCAGCCAGCAGCAGGAAGGGACCACGTACTCCCTGGTACTAAGGGATGTGGCCCAGCATGACGCTGGTGTCTACACGTGCCTGGCCCACAACGCTGGCGGCCAGGTGCTATGCAAGGCAGAGCTGCTGGTCCATGGGGGTGAGTGGGGGACCCCTTCCCAGGCCTGTCTTGGCTCCATGCAGGCGTGTGGGGCTGTGGGTATGGGGGTCCTGTGGGATCCCACAGTCTCGGGCACTATAAAGTTGGGGGACAGAGAGACGGGGTGGTCATCTTTGCTCACACCTACAGCTTCCCCCTCCCTGGCTACAGGCGACAGTGCGCAAAGCTCTAGGAGGAAACTGCACTCCTTCTACGAGGTCAAGGAGGAAATTGGAAGGTATTGCCTGCCCCCCATCCCAGCCCCAGGAGCCTCACCTGCTGGACCCCCACCCCCTAAGACCCTCATCCGCAACCTCCCGGAGTTCCTACCCCAGAGTTTCCATCCAGGAGCTCCCAGCCCTCCCCCCCACTGCACCCCTACAATCCCCACTTCAGCACTAGCAGAAGCCCACCCTGCCCCCCGGAATCCTGCCTCCACCGAGTACCTGCCTCCTCCAGCCCTCACCTTCTGGAGCCCCTGCCTCCTGCGAACCCTACCTCTTTCCGGAGCCCCTGCCCGCAGAGTACCTGCTGCCCCACACCTGCCGGGAATTCCGCCCCCTCCAGTACCCACTGCCCCAGCCTCTGCTCTCCCGGAACCTCCCTTCTCAGGAGCTTTGCCCCCTTCCAAACCCCGTCCCCCAGGAACCCCACCCCCAACGCGCTGTACCCTCCTCCCAGGGGTGTGTTCGGCTTCGTGAAGAGGGTGCAGCACAAGGGCAACCAGATGTCCTGCGCCGCCAAGTTCATTCCCCTGCGGAGCAGGACACGTGTCCAGGCTTATCGGGAGCGGGACATCCTAGCAGGGCTGAGCCACCCGCTGGTCACTGCACTGCTGGACCAGTTTGAGACCCGAAAGACCCTGATCCTCATCCTGGAGCTGTATCCCATCTCACCCCAAGGGTGCAAGGTGGTGGGGGGAGGGGGATGTGCCCCAGACACACAGGGGTCCGGAGGGCTGCGTGGGGCCTGTGGTTTTGGTGATCCCAGCCCTGTCTGCCTCATGGGGGCAGCCGGTAACGCTGGCGTCTCGATGCTTTGTGACTAACCCCCTCCCCGACCCCGAACACGTTGCACAGACCTCATAGCTCCTAGGCCTTTGGGCCAGGAATTTGGGCAGGGCTGCGTCCAGAAGGTCCGAGACGTGCGCCTGTGGGCTCCTCCCGCTGTCCACGTTGCCTTTCCAGCAGGAAGTTTGGACTTCTTACCTGGCTCCTGCAGGCCCCAAGCGCTGACGCTGCTTCGGATGCCTACCCATGCTCCGAGGAGGGGCACACACCCCACCGGATCCATCTGCCACACTCGCGGCCCAGCTGAGGGTCTCTGAATGCCGTGTGTGCTCACCACACCCCCACCTCCCCAGTCAGCGTCCCCTGCGGGGGGAGGGGGCACACGTGGGCTCTGTGCAGAGGGGAGAGGATACCTCCACTCCCACTCTGCTGCTGCCCACTGGCCTCAGCCCCTCTACTTGGGGCATCTTGTCCCTCACATCCTCCTCCACTGCAAGCACTAGCCTCCCTAGAATAGCTCCCCCCACCCCCCGCCCCGAGATAAGGCTCCCCCCAGGCGGTGTGAGGCCATGAGCGTTCCAGACCCTAGAGCTTTCCTTGACAGTCCCAGGTGCTCGTCAGAGGAACTGCTGGACCGCCTGTTCAAGAAGAGTGTGGTGACAGAGGCTGAGGTGACTGTGCTGCCGGGGCTGCCCACCCAGCTTCAGGGCAGCCTGCATGCCTGGCCAGGCCTCCTGCTTCCCCTGCCCAGACCACCTGTCCCTCAGACTAGCTCCCCAGCATAGTACTGCCCACCTCAGAGACCTTCTAGGGTATTCCAGGGCCTCACAGGGTGTTGCAGCTCCTGTCGGGCGTTCAGAGCCCTCCCGTGTCCGGGGCTCGCTTCTTCCCCACCCCAGACTGCACTGAGCTAGCTGGCCAGGCCTCGCCTGCTCTCCCAGTCGCCTCTTGCTTCGCACAGGCTGCTTCACACACCCAAACCTGCCCCGCCTTGGGGCTCAGAGGAATCCCCCAGCTACAGGGGTCCGTGAGGCTTTGCATGTGACCTGCCCTGTGGGACCACCGTCCCAGGCTCAGGTCTGGAGGGAATTGGAGGCAGTGTGGGTGGGAGCAGGCAGGGAGGTAAGTAGAGGGGGTTCTCGAGGCTGGCTCACCTGAGCACCAGCCTTTGCTGCAGGTCAAGGTCTACATCCAGCAGCTGGTGGAGGGGCTGCACTACCTGCACGGCCAAGGCATCCTCCACCTGGACATAAAGGTATGTGGTTCCCTGGTGCCCCCAGAGCCCAGTGAGGGGCAGGTGGGAGCCTGGAGCCTATAGGCTGAGAGGGTGCAGGCCCAACACATCCAAATTTCCTGTCAGGATTTCCTCACCTCTGGGGACAGGGAGCTCACTATGCTATGACGGCCCCTTCAGGTGGGGTGCGGGTCCGATGGAGCAGAAGCTGTCCCCAAATGGCACTGAAACCTGTCCCCGGGGCTGCCTACTACCCCATGCTGGCCTCACCATCCTTGTGGGGCAGCCCCTCAAAGACCCTTGAGTGTCCTCCCCAGGCCCGGCAGCCCTGGGAGTCACTTCCTTAGGGCACGGCCTCACCCACTCCCGACTCTGCCCGACAGCCCCCCAACATCCTGATGGTGCACCCTGCTCGGGAAGACATTAAAATCTGCGATTTTGGCTTTGCCCAAAAAATCACCCCGGCAGAGCCGCAGTACAGCAAATACGGCTCCCCTGAGTTTGTGGCCCCCGAGATCATCGAGCAGACCCCTGTGAGCGAGGCCTCCGACATCTGGTGAGTGGGGGGCACCCGCTCTCAGCCTCCTCCTCCCCCTCACCAGGCCAGGTCTGGGGTGACTCACGGCGGTGGTTTTTTTCCTGCAGGGCCATGGGGGTCATCTCCTACCTCAGGTGAGCAGACCCCGGCTCCTGTCGGCTGTCTCCTCCAAAGCCGGCCCAGACCCCTCCTCAGCAGGCCCACGGGAAGCTGTTGAACTGCTGGCTGCTCCTCAGATCGGAGACCCGAGACCTAAGGGGCAACTATCTTGGGAACATGCAGTCAGCCAACTCCGATAAGGGGTTTCTGCCAAGTGCTTTTCACACACACCCTGTCACAGAGGAGCTCTGCTGGGTCACGGGGCAGAGCACTGAGCTATTTCCCTAAAGGGTATAGGTAATTTGTCCAGAGCCCCCTTATAACAGTTATTGCTGCCCTGAGGACGCTGGTGGTGTAGACTGAGCCTGGATTTCCTCTACAGGTGGAGCCCTGATCCCTCCACCCCCGGCTAAGGCCAGGTGCCCCCTCCAGACCGACCCTTGATCTCTGCTCCAGGCTGAGCCTGGATCCCTACCCCAGGCTGACCCTTGATCCCTATCCCAGACCAAGCCTGGAGCCTCACCCCAGCCTGGGACCAGATACCCACTCCAGGCTTAGCCCGGATCCCAGCTCCAAGCTGAGCCTGGATCTCTGGGCAAATCTGAGACATATGCTGGAATTCTCAGGGCTGGATGACAGTGGTGTTCAGAGGCATCTCTAGTCAGGGCTGGGAGCCCCCAGCCACCACCATCCCCATGAGACCCAGCACTCCCTGTCCTGGCACCCTGCCTCCCATGGACCCAGAAATTCAGGTCCCGACTGAAGGCTAGTCATGTCTCTGCTTTCAGCCTGACCTGCTCGTCCCCATTTGCTGGCGAGAGTGACCGAGCAACCCTTCTGAATGTCCTGGAAGGGCGGGTGTCCTGGAGTAGCCCCATGGCCACCCACCTCAGTGAGGATGCCCAGGACTTCATCAAGGCTGCTCTGCAGAAGGCCGTGGAGTGAGTGCACACGCCCTTCCCTCTGCCTGAGGTCCTCATTCTTGCCCCAGTGACCACTTGGACCGATCCCGCCCTTCCTCTCTCCACAGGGCCCGGCCCAGTGCCGCCAAGTGCCTTGCCCACCCTTGGTTCCTGGTGAGTAGGCTAAACGGGGGCTGGCCCGGCTCACGGGGAGGGAAACTGAGGCCAAGAGGAATGGGGGCCTGCCTGGGCCACAGGGTGCAACATGCCTCTCTCGCCTGGGCTCCCCCAGAAGTCTGTGCCTGCGGAGGAGGCCCACTTCATCAACACCAAGCAGCTGAAGTTCCTCCTGGCCCGCAGCCGCTGGCAGGTGAGCTGTGCTGCCCTGTGGAGGGGGCGAGGGGGTGGGGTGTGGAGGGGGTGGGAGGCCAGAGAGGGGAATGAGGCCCAGAGAGCTGGCTGGCTGGCTGTGTGTGCCCCTTCTGGGTCTGGGAGAGCAGGGAAGTGGGGCTGGGCATCCTTCATTTCAGGTCTTTGCTTCCTGAGACACCGGGGTGAGGTGGGGCAACATGCAACACCCCTGCCAAGATGGGGACACACTGGCAGAGCTCTGGGCCCACGTCTTTTAATGCCCACCATTTCCTGAGCACCCCTCTGGGCCCACCGAGAGCTGGGAAGGCAGCAGGCAGCCAGCTGACGACCCCCTGTCCTCCACAACCCCAGCGCTCCCTGATGAGCTACAAGTCCATCCTGGTGATGCGTTCCATCCCGGAGCTGCTCCAGGGCCCGCCCGACAGCCCATCCCTCGGGGTGGCCCGGCACCTGCGTGGTGATGTCAGTGCCTCCTCCAGCAGCTCTTCCTCCTCCGACAACGAGCTGGCACCGTTCGCCCGGGCCAAGTCGCTGCCCCCCTCCCCGGTGACCCACTCCCCGCTGCTGCACCCCCGGGGCTTCCTGCGGCCTTCCGCCAGCCTGCCTGAGGAGGCCGAGGCCTGCCCACCCGCCGCAGCGTCGCCCCAGGGTGCACAGCCACCAGCTGCCCTGGGCTGTGTGCCCCGGCAGAGTGTCATCCGAAGCCTGTTCTACCAGCAGGTGGGGGAGGGCCCAGAGCTAGGGGGCCTGTCCGCAGGCAGCAGACGGCACCCCGCCCGGCGGCGGCACCTTCTCAAGGGTGGCTACTTCTCGGGCGTCCTGCCTGGCCTTCGAGAGCCACTGTTGGAGCACCGTGCGCTGGAGGAGGAGGCTGCCAGGGAGGAGCAGGCCACCCTGATGGCCGAAGCACCCTCCTTTGAGACCTCCCTGCGGATGCCCAGTGCAAGCACCCAGGAGGCCTCTGGCTTCAGCCGCTCCCTGGACCTTGATGGGCGGAACACAGCCAGCCCCTCTGCCAAGGCCTGCAGCAAGGGGCAGTGTTCCGCTCTGGGCCCCTCGAGCCTTCAGGGGGCCCACGGAGAGAGCATGCCGGGAGGGGATGCACGTGCCAGAGAGAAGGAGCATCCAGAGGGGCCCCTGCAGGGGCTGAGGCTACTTCCGTCCACCGGTGGTGATGAGTGCTCCGCTCAGCAAGAGGGGTCATTGCAGGACAGCTGTGGAGGGCAGGCTGCCCCTTTCTTTCAACCCCAGAGGAGTCCTGCCCCCCAGGACTGTGGCACCCCTGCTGCTTTGGCACCACAACCTCCTGGCTCCTTCCCTCCAGGGCACTGCACAGAGCCGCTCTTGACATCCCCGAGCCCTTTCTTTTCAGGAAAACCACAGGCCTCCCCCTCCCCAGCCCAAGCAAGCCCCCAGTCAGACTCTGAGAGAGGGCTGAAGGACACCCCTCTTGCCGGGAGGCCTGATCCACCCAAACCCCCAGAGCCAGCCTCCCATATGGGCATGGAGCCCGGCCCCTCCCTGGACATTGAAAGCCTGTCCCAGGAGACAGAGGGCCTGTTCCAGGAGACAGAGGGCCTGTCCCAGTCTTCGCCCAGTCCACAGCGGCCTCGGAAGCTGGCGACCACACGGAAGTTCTCCCTGGGATTCCAAGGGGGCTACGCGGGGGTGGTGGGCTACGGCACCTTTGCCTTTGGTGGGGATGCCGGTGGCATGCTGGGTCAGGGGCCCCTGTGGGCCAGAATGTCCTGGGCTGCCTGTCAGTCCTCGGAAGAGGAGGAGGCAGGGGCCGAGAGCCCACCACCCCAGGCCAGCACAGTGCCTCTACCTGAGGGTGGCAGGGCCCTCCCGAGGGCCTCCCAGGAGGTGAGCTCACGGGAAGACTTAAGTGGGGGCTCTCAGGTGTCGCTCGTACAGATCCGGGACCTGTCCAGGGACCTGGAAGCGGCTGACACTGTGTCTCTGGACATCTCGGAGGTGGATCCTGCCTACCTCAATTTGTCTGACCTGTACGACATCAAATACCTCCCATTTGAGTTCATGATCTTCAAGAAGGTCCCCAAGCCTGTGGAGCCAGAGCTGCCACCCTCCCCTGAGTCTGAGGCTGGGGAGGAGCTGGCTGAGCTCCCAGAGGCCGCATGGCCGGGCATTCTGGGCCCGCCAGCAAGCCTGGCGATCACAGAGGAGCCAGAGGACATGGAGGCCCTGCTCGGGGAGGCTGCTGGTGGCAGGAAGCGCAAGTGGTCACCCCCTTCCAGCAGGCTCTTCCACTTCCCCGGGAGGCAATCACTGCTGGAGGAGTCCACAGAGCTGGGGCTACGCCAGAGAGTAAGGGCCTCGGTGGCCCACATCTCCCGCCTCCTGAGAGGCAGGCCTGAAGGTTACTACCCCCACCCTGCCCCAGGACTGTGCACATCCATGTTCCCCACTCTGCACCTTGGGTCTCCTTGTCCAATAGGACAGCTCAGGAGCTCACCTGAGTGATGCAGGAAGCCCTCCCCCGTCCCGGTGCTGCCCACACCTCCCGGGACACAGTGGCTTGTTTTCGAGGTCACCTTTGCAGCTTCGATCCCTCCCCATGTGCATGTGAGGCGCAGTTGTAATTCAACTGCAGTTACACCCCTGCGGAAGTAGGAACCAGACCAGCCCTCCCTGATCCTTGACCCCTGGGCCCTCAGCCACGCCTCCCCAGGCACCTGTGGCCCCTTGAGCTGCTGCCCTTACCTGCCCGTGGTGGCCCTGCCTAGGACGGGCTGATGCTGATGGGGTAGGGAGGGTGGTGCCCTCTGCAGCAGATGTAGCTCGTTTTCAATAAGATCCCCTGGGATCTGGGCTTTTCTGCCACATGGGAATCCCACAGTTGGCCACAAGGGGCCCCAGAGCCTTCCTCCCATGCTCCCAGAGGAGCCAGGCCCCTAACGTGTGACCTCTCATGGCCACTTGCGTACTGCAGGTCTGGAGAAGGAGGGCCCCCCCAGGAAGAAGGCAGGCCTAGCTTCCTTCCGCCTATCAGGCCTGAAGAGCAGGGACCGAGGTGGGTACACTGCCCAGGGGCTGGGCCCCCACTGCAGCCCAAGGGACCTTACTGTGGGGAAAGGGAACCCTGCCAAGACAGTGCATGGCAGGGGGAAGCTCACACGCATGGGGTCTTGAGTACACAGAGGGACTCTGGCGCCCCAGCAGTCACGGCCCTGCAGTCCTGGAAGCCTTCCTGGAGTAGGCGCTAGTGTTGGAGATGAGCCGGTTGGGGGTGGGGCTCATCTGTCTCCCCACGGCGGAGTCCAGGCCTTGCTCTCAGGCTTAGGGTCACCTCTGAAAGCTCACCTCGCCTCCCTTCCCCAGCACCATCGTTCCTAAGGGAGCTCTCGGATGAGATGGTGGTCCTGGGCCAATCTGTGACTCTGGCCTGCCAGGTGTCGGCCCAGCCAGTTGTACAGGCCACCTGGAGTAAAGGTAAAGAGCTCTCCTGAGGCTGAGGGGCAGGGGGGCAGGGGGTGCTCCTTTAGGGCATTACTCTCATTGTACAGAGGGAAACTGAGGCTCAGAGAGGGTGTGGGCCCCGGGTGTGACCATGAGGCAGGGCACCTGTGGGGAGCTCCTCTCGAGGTCCACTCTATCCTGCTGCAGACGGGGCTCTTCTTGAGAGCAGCAGCCGCCTCCTCATCTCCTCCACGCTCAAGCACTTCCAGCTGCTGACCATCCTGGTGGTGACTGCCGAGGACCTGGGCGTGTACACGTGCAGTGTACGCAATGCGCTGGGGACGGCGGCCACCACAGCCATTCTCCGGAAGGCAGGTGCGTGGGCCGAGCAGGGCCCAAGAAATGTGACGCTCCCCACCCAGGCATCCACATCCCGGCACTACCAGGGCCTGGAGGGGTCACAGAAGGCAGTAGCCGGCTCTGCAGCCCAGGACTCCTGGGAGGGGACGCAGGAGGCGGCCGGGAGGGGATGCAGGGTGACACAGCCGGCCAGGCCCTCTCCCTGACACCGCTTTGGGTGCTCCTGTCCTTGCATTTCCCACGGTACCTCCCTCCCTGTGTCTCCAGCAAATGCAGGAAGAGGCGGCTTCCCGTTTTGTATCTCTATTATAGTCAAACCAGGCTCTCAAAACACAGCGCTGGGGTGTGTTTCTGGGGGAGCCAAGACAGAGGCTGCAGGCCTAGCTCTCAGACCTCTGACCTGGTCCCCAGAGGGGGCTAACCCCCACAAGCCCTGCACCACAGCCCAGCAAAATAGAGGCCCCTCTGACTAGAGGCTGGGATTGGTGGCGGGCTGTGAGCAAGGGCCATTCCATGGGGTTCCTGGGCAGGCACCTGTGGAAGGGGAGCCTGGCGGGGTTGGGTAGGGCAGACACCTCCTGAGGCCCCTCGGAGGAGAGGCGCTGAGCCCCTCCTACTAGTCAGCGTTGGAAGGGACCTCTGAATGAACTGGACCAAGTGAGGGTGGGCTCAGGGGCCTGGCAGCAGGGTGCAGGAGGATGAGGCAGGGCTGGCTGGGGCTCAGAGCTTCATTAGAGAACCCCTGGGAGCCCGCCTCAGATTGCTGTCTGTGGGCCCTGCAGAGCGCCCCTCTTCCTCCCCACGCCCGGACATCGGGGAGGTGTATGCGGACGGGGTGCTGCTGGTCTGGAAGCCTGTGGAGTCATATGGCCCTGTGACCTATATTGTGCAGTGCAGCCTGGAAGGTATGGGGCCACTCCTGAATCCTCACATCCTGGGGGGCCCCAGGGTCGCTGTGGGGGGACCGTGGGGAAGCACCTGGCTGCTCTGCACCCCTGGGTGGCCTGCGTGGGCCTCTCCACCCTGACATGGAGTGGGGAGGCCTTGGGCTGTCTCTCACCCGCTCCTGTGTGGCCCAGGCGGCAGCTGGAGCACGCTGGCCTCAGACATCTTTGACTGCTGCTACCTCACCGGCAAGCTTTCTCGGGGCGGGGTGTACGCCTTCCGGACGGCCTGTGTCAGCAAGGCGGGCATGGGCCCCTACAGCAGCCCCTCGGAGCAGGTCCTCCTGGGAGGGCCCAGCCACCTGGGTGAGCCACTCTGCAGGGCTCTACGGAATGCACCCTGCCACTTCAGTGAGTCACACGCTCACTTGGGATGGTTGGTTCTGCCTGCTAGGCCCCCCACCCACAAATGGCCTGAGGAATGAGAGGTCAGAGTGTTCGGGGTTCAAAGAGGGAAGGGGTGATGGGAGAAAAGGCTGGGGGAGATGGGGCTACAGGGGTGCCCTCCACCAGTCATCGGCTTCCCCTTCCCACAGCCTCTGAAGAGGAGAGCGGTGCCTCAGGGCCAGCCCAGCCGCTTCCCAGCAAGCAGACCTTCGCCTTCCAGACACAGATCCGAAGGTACGGGCCCTCCAGGGAGAGCGCGTGGCAGCGTCACGGCCCCACTAGCTCTTCATGCTCCCACCCCAGCCCCATCTTCTCTCCCCTCTGATCACTTCCACCTACATTTGCCTCAGTGCATCTGCCACCCCCTCCTGGACCTTCCCCCTGGGCTTGCTTCTCTGCGATTGGGGTCCGGCCTGGGCCACCCGGCGGGCTGGCCCCTCACCAGCCTGGCCCGTGTTTCCTCCCTAGGGGCCGCTTCAGCGTGGTGCGGCAGTGCCGGGAGAAGGCCAGTGGTCGCATGCTGGCTGCCAAGATCGTGCCCTGCCACCCTGAGGACAGGACTGCCGTGCTGCGGGAATACGAGGCCCTCAAGGGCTTGCGCCACCCCCACCTGGCACAGCTGCAGGCTGCCTACCTCAGCCCCCGACACCTGGTCCTCATCTTGGAGCTGTGCTCTGGGCCTGAGCTGCTCCCTTGTCTGGCCGAGAGGTGAGAGGGCGGGGCCTGGCCTGGATTCGGGGCTCAGGACCCGGCCGCCAGCACTGTGGTCCACCTCTGGCCCACCTCCAGGGCCCGCCTGCACCGGCCAGCTGACCAGGGTGGCTCAGCAGAGCTGGGCCTTCCCTCCTAAGCCCAGCAGGGAAGTCCCTGCTGTGGACAAAGCCTGGGTGCCCCTCCCCACATGCCCCCTAACTGGCCCTCTGCCCCCAGGTCCTCCTACTCGGAATCAGAGGTGAAGGACTATCTGTGGCAGATGCTAAGTGCTGCCCAGTACCTGCACGCCCAGGGTATCCTGCATCTAGACCTCAGGTCCGAGAACATGATTGTCACAGAGTACAACCTGCTCAAGGTTATCGACTTTGGAAACGCCCAGATCTCCGCCCAGGAGAGGGTCCTGCCCTCGGAGAGGTTCAAGGATTACATGGAGACCATGGGTGCGCAGGGCACAGACACCAAGCCTGATCTGGGGGAGGGGGGTGCCAGGAGCAAGCCCTTCCCCCAGCCCTGTCTCCCTGCCTGCTCCACTGCAAACACCCAGCCCCTCACCTGTGACCCCCACCCATGCCGTCCCCAGCTCCGGAGCTCCTAGAGGGCCAGGGTGCCCTTGCACAGACCGACATCTGGGCCATAGGTGTCACGGCCTTCATTATGTAAGTCTCCACATGCCCTGTGGACTGGGAGGGCTGGCTGGAAGGGCAGGCCTGGGGTACACTGAGGGTGAACCCAGGCCCCTGTGACTCCCATCCATTGAGCATGACCTCAGTCACTTGACCCCCACCCATTCAGGTTGAGCGCTGAGTACCCGGTGAGCAGCGAGGGAATGCGAGACCTGCAGAAAGGGCTGCGCAAGGGGCTCATCCAGCTGAGCCGCTGCTACGCGGGTCTGTCCGGGGGCGCTGTGGCCTTCCTCCGAAGCACGCTGTGCGCGCACCCCTGGTAGGCACCCCCACCTACCCTGCCTGGCCCACCCCCCTATGACCTGACCTGCCCGTCGTGGGCGGGGGCACGGCTAACGCCACCCTCCCGCGCTCCAGGGGCCGCCCATGTGCGTCCAGCTGCCTGCAGTGCCCGTGGCTGACCGAGGAGGGCCCCGCCAGCTCCCAGCCTGCGGCCGTGACCTTCCCCACCGCAAGTCTGCGCGCGTTCGTGAGAGAACGCGAGAAGAGGCGGGCGGTGCTGTACAAAAAACACAACCTGGCCCAGGTGCGCTGAACGCCTGGCCCTGCGGGACCGCACCTCTCAGTCTTTCAGGACTCCCTTCATATGCATACACAGATCAATAAAAAGCAGAACTGGATGAGGCGCTCTCTGTTTCATTATTTTGTTTGGGGGAGGGGGTGAGGGCCCTGCCACCTTCCTGGTGTTTGGCAGAGGGCAGAACTGCCCTTCTCTGTCCCGGCTGTGTGCCCGCAAAGACTTCATTAAGACTAGAGCCCTCTGAACCGGTTCAATGTGGAGGCAGCTCCATGCTCTTGCGGGTGTGTGCGTTTCTACTAACCGTGTCAGTGCTGCATCAGACATGGACACAAGCCCAGGTAGTTTGCCGGGAAAACCTGATTGTGGGCACGTATCAAGGATTCCGACTTGCTCCACCACAGCACCATTCCTGGGGTGGGGGAGGAGCTGAAGCTGGAGCGTGTGGACAGCAGACACTACCTTCTTAGTTCTCAGCAAGTCTCATGGACGTGGTGACAGAGACATGCTGGTGAATCCAGCCCTCCTTGCTTTCCTCCTCTCCAGACAACGGTGTCCGCACACTGGACATCTTACTTGAACACAAAACACTTCATCTAAAAACCAAACATCTCCAAAAGTGAACTGCCTCCCCGCCCAGCTCCCCCCCCACCCCCCGCCCCAAACACCCACACAAACCTTCTGCAGACTCAGTAAACATGGCCACTCAACCAATCCTTAAGCCCAACCGCCTAGGTCCTGGGCACTGTGACCTTACATTGCCACGTCAGCAGCTGACCCCACTCCATCCCCTCATTGGCTCACCTGGCAATGCAGGAATGGAGGTGGGAAGGGAGCCAAGGTGGGCGCAGGCTCTGTGCTCTCTTGGGCTGGTGGGGTTCTGCTGTTAGCAGAGAGGCTTCTCCATTAGCTCTTCCCATCCGCATTCCTCCCACCCCCCCACCCCACCAACGTGGCTCCATTAACAGCCCCACACCACTCTCCTATCCTCTGTGCTCTACCTATTCATCCCTCCCTCTCTCTTAACCCCTGGCAACCACTGAAAGGATTTTTGTTTTTCTTTTTCTTTTTAACTATCTCCATAGTTTTGCCTATTCCAGAATGTCATATGGTTGGAATCATACGGTATATAGACTTTTCAGATTGGCTTTTTTCACTTAGTAATAATTTAAGGCTCCTCCAGTTGTTTCATGGCTTGATAGATAATTTTTTTCTTCAATTTTATTTTTGTAGTAATAAATTTATCATCTTAAGTGTTTTAAGAGTACAGTTCAGTAGTTATATATTCATGATGATTGCAACCATCACCCACCACCATTCATCCCCAGAACTCTTTTCATCTCATAAAACTGAAATTTTATATCCATTGAACACTAACTCACCATTCTCCCCTCTCCTCAGCCCCTGGCACCCACCATTCTACTTTCTGTCTCTATGAATTTGACTACTCTAGGTATCTCATATAAGTGGAATCATACAGTATTTGTCCTTTTGTGACTGGCTTATTCACTTAGCATAATGTCCTCAAGATCCATCCATGTTATAGCATACGGTGGAATTTCCTTCCTTTTGAAGGCTGAATAATACTCCATTGTATGTATATACCACATTTCACTTATCCATTGATGTACACTTGGGTTGCTTCCATGTTTTAGCTAGTGTGAATGTTGCTGCTATGAACATGGTGTACATTTATCTCTTCTAGACCCTGCTTTCAATCCTTTTGATTATATACCCAGAAGTGGAATATGGTAATTACATTTTTAAGTTTTTGAGGGAACTCCCTAGGGTTTTCCACATTGGTTGTATCATTTTACTTTCCCTCCAACAGTACAGAAGGTTTTCAGCTTCTCTACATCCTCATCAACATCTGCTGTTTTCTGTTGTTTTTTTGGTTTTTTTTTGATAGTAGGCCATTCTAATAGGTGTGAGGTAGTATCTCATCATAGTTTTGATTTACATTCCCCTAGTGATCAGTGATACTGAGCACCTTTTCATGAATTTATTGGCCATTTGTATATCTTCTTTGGAGAAATAATCTATTCAACTCCTTTGCCCATATTTGAATCACGTGGTTTGTGTTGTTGTTGAGTTTTAGGAATTTTTTATATATTTTGGATATTAATTCTTTAGATGTATGATTTGCAAATATTCTCTTCCATTCTGTGGATTGCCAATTTACCTTGTTGATATTATCATTTGATACACAAATTTTAGAAGATTTACCTAAAGTCCAGTTTGTCTTCTGTTGCTTACAACTTTTGTACCATAGTGAATAAATAATTACCAAGTTCAATGACAAGAAGATTTCACCCTAAATGTTTTCTCCTAAGAGTTTTATAGTTTTAGGTCTTACACTTAGGTCTTAGGTCCATTTTGAGTTAATTTTTGTATATGGTGTTCAGTAAGGGTCCAACTTCATTCTTTTGCATGAGGATATCCAGTTTTCCCAGCATCATTTGTTGGAAAGACTGTCCTTTCCCCATTGAATGGTCTTGGCACCTTTGTCAAAAATCATTTGACTATATATGCAAGAGTCTATTTCTGGGCTCTCTATTTTAATCCATTGGTGTATGTGTCTGTCTTTATGCCAGTACTACACTGTTCTGATTATTGTAGATTTTCAGTAAGTTTTGAAACCAGGAAGTGTGAATCCTCTAGCTCTTCTTTTTCAAGATTGCATTACCTATTGGGGTCCCTTAACTGCCATTGGATTTTAGGATAGGTTTTCTTATTTTCTGCAAAAAAAAAAAATGTCATTGGGATACTGATAGGGATTGAATCGAATCTGTCAATTGCTTTGGGCATTATTGACATTTTAAAAATATTAGATCATTCAATCGATGAACATTGGATATGTTTCCAGTTATTTATGTCTTCTTTATTTCAACAAGGTTTTTTTAGTTTTCATTGTACAGTCTTTCACCTGCTTGATAAAGTTTATTCCTAAGTATTTTATTCTTTTTGATGCCACTGTAAACTGAATGTTTCCATAATTTTCTTTTCAGATTGTTCATTGTTACTGTATAGAAATGCAACAGATTGTTGTGTGTTGACTTTGTATCCTGCTACTTTGCTGAATTCATGTATTAGCTCTAACAGACCTTTTTGTGGAATCTTTAGGGTTCCTTACATATAAGATCTTATCATTTTCAAACAGAGATAATTTTATTTCTTTTTTTCCAATTTGGATTAATTTTATTTATTTTGCTTACCTAATTGCTCTGGCTAGAGCTTCTAGTACCATGTTGAATAGAAGTGGTGAAAGTGGGAATCCTTGTCTTGTTCCTGATCTTAGAGGGAAAAACTTTCAGTCTTTCATCATTGAGTATGATGTTCACTGTGGGTTTTTCATATATCACTGTTATTATGTTGAGGTAGTTTCCTTCTATTCCTACTTTGTTGTTGTTGGCCTTTTTTTTTATCATGAAAAGGTGTTGAATTTTGTCAAATGGTTTTTCTGCATTAAGATGATCACATGTTTTTCCTCCCTACATTATTTTAATTTAGAGATGGATCAATTTATGAATGTTAAACCATCCTTTCATTCCAGGAATGAGTCCCACTTGGTCTAGTGTATAATCCTTTTAATGTACTGTTGAATTCAGTTTGCTAGTATCTTGCTGAGGATTATTGCATCAGTATTTATCAGGGATATTGGTCTGTAGCTCTCTTGTGGTGCTTTTGTCTGCCTTTTATATCAAGTTAATGCTGGCCTCATAGAATAAGTTTGAGAGTGTTCTCTCCTTTTCATTTTTTGGAAGTTCATGGAGAATTTGTCTTAATCCTTCTTTACATGTATGCTAGCATTCACCAGTGAAGGCTTGTGGTTCTGTTTTTGTTTTTTTTCTTCCTTCAGAGGTTTTTGATTACTGATTCAACCTCCTTACTAGTTACAGGTCCGATCCGATTTTCTAGTTCTTCATGATTCAGTAGGTTGTGTGTTTCTAGGAATTTATCTATTTTTCTAGATCATCCAGCTTGTTTTGTACAATTGTTCATAGTATCTTATAATCCTTTTCATTTCTTTGGTATCATTTGTAATGTTCCCTCTTCATTTCTGATTTTTTGTCTTCACTCTTTATTTTCTTAGTCTATCTTAGGGTTTGTCAATTTTATCTTTTTTTTTAAGTCTTTATTTCATTTTTTTCTATTGTTTTTATATTCTCTATCTCATTGATTTTTGCTCTTATTTCCTCCCTTCTTCTAGCTTGAGGTTTAGTTTGATCTTCATTTTCTAGTACTTTAAGGAGAAAATATAGGTTGTTGATTTGAGAGCGTCATTCTTTTTTAGTGTAAGTGTTTACACCTATAAACCTCCCCCTTGGCACTGCTTTTGCTGCATTCCATATGTTTTGGTATGTTGCATTTACATTTTCATTTGTCTCAAGATATTTTCTCATTTCACTTTTGATTCCTTTTTTGACCCATTGGTTGTTTAAGAATGTTTTGTTCAATTTCCATATATTTGTGGATTTTCCAGTTTTTCTCTTTCTTCTACTATTGATTTCTAATTTTATTCCTTTGTGATTGGAAAAGACACTTTGCATGATTTCAATCTTTAAAAAAATTTAAGACTGGTTTTATAGCCTAACATGTGATCTATCCTGGAGAATTTTCCATGTGCACATGAGAAATAAGTGTATTCTACTCCTGTTGTGTGGAGTATTCTCTCTCTATATATATCTGTTATGTGCAGTTGGTCTACAGTATCATTCATGCTTACTATTTCCTTATTGAGCTTTTGTCCGGCTATCCATTATTGAAACTGCAGTATTAAAGTTTTCTACTACTGTTGTAGATTGGCCTATTTCTCCCTTCAATTATGTCAGTGTTTGCTTCATATACTTAGAATTTCTGCCGTTTGATGTATGTACATTTACAATTCTTACATCTTGGTGAATTAAGTTTTTCTTCATTATATGATGTTCTTTTTTGTCTCTTGTGAAGGTTTTCGAATTAAATTCTATTTTGTCTGTTATTAGTATAGCCTGCTCCTTTTTGGTTAGTACTTGATGGACCATCCTTTTCAATCCTTTAACTTTTCACTTCTGTACATTTGTAGATCTAAAGTGAGTCTCCTGTT